TAGGGCAGGACAGCGCGGCTCGATTCAGGTCGGGTCGCGGCTCGGCTGGGTGGCGCGGCTCGGTTCAGGGCGCGCGGCTCGGCTCGGGGCGCGCGGCTCGGCTCGGGGCGCGCGGCTCGGGTCACGCGGCTCGGGTCACGGCGGGGACGGGCCGCCCGCTCTCCCTCGTGTGCTGCGGCGGGAACGGGCCGCCCGGGGCCTCTAGGTGGTGGGCTCGGGTCGGCGAGGTCGGCACGGGGCCGGTTGGGGCCCTAGAGGGGCGAGTGCGGGGCCGATCGGGGCCTGAGCGGGGCTAGCAAGGGGCCGACGGGGCCTGAATGGGGCTAGCGCGGGGCCGACGGGGCCTGAAACGGGGCCGACGGGGCTTGAAACGGGGCTAGCGCGGGCCCGATCAGGGCCTGAATGGGGCTAGCGCGGGGCCGACGGGGCCTGAGAGGGGCTAGCGCGGGGCCGACGGGGCCTGAAACGGGGCTAGCGCGGGCCGACGGGGCCTGAGAGGGGCTAGCGCGGGGCCAACGGGGCCTGAAACGGGGCCTGAAACGGGGCTAGCGCGGGCCGACGGGGCCTGAGAGGGGCTAGCGCGGGGCCGACAGGGCCTGAAACGGGGCCGACGGGGCCTGAAACGGGGCTAGAGCGGGCCGACGGGGCGTGAGAGGGGCTAGCGCGGGGCCGACGGGGCCTGAAACGTGGCCGACGGGGCCTGAAACGGGGCTAGCGCGGGCCGACGGGGCCTGAGAGGGGCTAGCGCGGGGCCGACGGGGCCTGAAACGGGGCCGACGGGGCCTGAACGGGGCTAGCGCGGGGCCTGAACGGGGCCTTAAAGAGGCCGACGGGGCCTGAACGGGGCCGCTAGGGAGAGCGGGCGTGGGGCCAACGGGGCCTGAACGGGGCTAGCGCGGGGCCGTCAAGAGGGGCCTCTAGGGGCGTGACACGCCGAGGCACCCTAGGGCACAGGTAGATAGGTAGGTAGGTAGTTACGTAGTGGTGGGCCCTTAGAAAATTTCGGTCCTAGGAAGGACCTGCTCTATACCATGTTGGAATCACTGAACAAGAATGAATGAACTAGCAGTGAAATGAGTACAAGTACCTAACCCTAGAATTGTGTACCCCCTATAGGCTAACCCACTGTAGCCTAAACTAACACAACATATATAATGTTTGACAAGCTGCAGCGGTATTATTACTGGCCCTAAATGTTGACCGACGTATAGCGTCACGTGGCATCGTGTCCCACTTGCCAGATCATGAAGTCAACACGGAAGCGGCCGGCGGGACAGTTGCAGCCAATCCCACCTCCAGAGCGTGCTTGGCAACAGGTGACGATGGACTTCATCACGGGGTTACCGGCCGGGGCGAGTGGAAATGACGCGATCCTGGTCGTCGTCGATCAGCTGACGAAAATGGCACACTTCGCAGCCTGCAAAAAATCAATCACAGCCGAAGAAACAGCCCGCCTCTTCATCTCTACCGTCGTTCGACTGCACGGGATACCAGCATCAATCATCAGCGACAGAGACACTAAATTCACCAGCAACTTCTGGCGAAACCTGTGGCAGCAGTTCGGCACACGACTACAGTTTAGTTCATCGTACCATCCCGAAACAGACGGACAGACAGAACGGACAAATCAGACCATGGAACAGCTCATCCGGGCTACGTGCGACGACCCAAACACGTGGGAACAGCAACTGCCACTCATCGAATCCGCATACAACAACGCCCCATCCGCCACGACCCAATAGTCACCGTTTTACCTGAATCACGGACAAGACCCAACAGTACCCATGACCCCGAATTCCGACAACCCGGTTCCACGCGCGCAACAGTTCGCCGAAATTTTGCAAGCAGCACGGACCAGGGCAGCAGACGCAATTAAAAAAGCTAACATCATCGCTAAACGCAACGCCGACCGCCACCGCAGACCTGTCACTTACCAGCCCGACGACTTAGTTTTACTCGACACCCAAAATCTCCGACTGCCGATCACCCAGAAACTCCGCCCCCGATACTGCGGGCCATTTCGCATAAGCCACATGATAAACACCCGTCACCGCTCACCTCCTCCTCCCTGCTGACTGGTACGTCAGCCTGCTTCGCCCCTACGTCCCGTCCACAAGCCAACTCCTACGCAATCGCCCAGCCAGCATGACACGACCGCCGACTGAACCCATCATCACCCCCGAAAAAGTCATGAGCCACAAAGTTCGTGACCCTCGAGGAGCCCGAAGGATCGAGTTCTTACTCCGCTGGAAGGACCGCACACCCACCGAAGACAATTGGGTTCCCCTGGACAGAATCGAACACCACCCCGTCCTCACCGAGTATCTGCACAGCCGGAATTTCAGGGATGTACACGCACTTTCGTAAGGAGGACCTCCTTAAGGGGGGGGGTAGTGTAAGGAAAATCTCTTTTTCCTTACTTCCCGTCCCTGCTCAACGAATACATCACTGTAGCACCACAGTCAGCACCGTTACCACTCGCAATCCTCGCATCGACAATCCGCCCGCCACCTTCGCACGTCGCACCCCGACCTCACGGCTCGGCGGGTAACCCGCGCTCCGGGCCTCCGCTTCGACACTTTTCCCAACCTCAGTCCCAGGCCCGTCGCGCGACAACCACAGTCCATTACCTTTACCACTGTAGTTTCGCTATACATTCTTCGCTCATGCCTTCGCTCATTGTACTCTTGCTTAGATAGTGCAATTCTCGTTCGTTCACTCAATTGTACTCTACTGTATGATTTGAGCATACATATGACTTTGTCTTGTCGCAGGGGAATCTCCGCGTTTGTCGAACCCAGAACTACGAAGGGCTGCCTAGCCAGTCGACGTGGCCGCTGGGTTTGGCTTCCACCACTCAAACAGGTTGGTGCCCTCCACCAGACCAGACTATTGTGTTTGTTCTAGTCCGACGTTTACGGCTCTCGGTTTTCTAGTTTGGCAGTTCCCCGGGCCAGACTCCAGAGTGTGGGAGTACAATTTTGATGGCAAAAGAATACCAGAACAAATGAGGTCGGGTCGGGTTCTTGGTGTGAAGAGGGAGTGGGGGCCCGGAATTTGGGGAATGACGGGATGGATGGAACTGGACTGCGTGACGAATGATTGCATTCCATTGTTTTAAAGGCGGGGTGCAACATCTTAGGAACAGTAGGGGGACAAAAATGGCATGTGAGTAACCAAAACCCTTCTCGGCTCTGAACTGCCTGGGTCAACCTCTTCCAAGCTATAATACTTTGAAGTTGAAGTTGATAGTTGGGCCACGGCTTTAAACAATTGTGTTATGAGCCGCCAGTTCCAGCAGTAGTGGAAATAAATCGAGGATGTGAAAGCTGTGAATTCTGATGCGGCAATCTGGTGGCGATGGGGAACAAGATTTACGATGGCCCCATTGAGCATGTCCTGGTAGCAGGAAAATTTTAAAACAAAACGTAGATGTTTGTGCAAATGCGCATCAAGAGTGCTTTAGGGAGGCTGCCGGGGCTCAACCGACAATCCATACAACTCTAGGTTCGCTGAATGTACAATCATGAAAGAAAGAGGGTGCCCGGTCGATACGTCAATACGCCAAGCCGTTTCCATCACCTCCATTCCCCTGTCACTTGCTGCAGTGAGCTGATGTGCTTCCAGAATCATCAGGATGCTTCCACAGTCTAGACATGCTTCTGCCGCTTTACTGCTACCCTTCTATGGCAGCAGTTGAGTCCAGGTACTGTAACAGCTTTCGGAACCTAACTGTAGTTTTCGGAACCTAATTGGTCTTCCTTAGGACGACTTAGTTGGTGATTATCCGAGAGCCGCGATCATAGGCACAAGGAGGGAGCCACACATTCCAGATTATCCGTCAAGTCAAGCCCACCATGCCTCGCGTGCCGCGTCCGTCCGCTTCTCCTCTCCTTCCCACTAAAGACTACGCGTCCGCGTTGCAGACGACGAGGCAATTGCAGCACGAGCAGGAGGACAGGCAGGAGCAGCATGTCCGAAAGGCCAAGCAGCAGCGGAGAAGATCTTTAGATCAGCATCGAACGAGCCAGAAAGATCAATGGCGGTTTGGTTCTCAATCAAATCCGCTGAACGAGCCTTTACTGGGAGGATCAAGTCAAGGGGGAATAGCGATTTCCGAAGGCGCGAGCTCTCGTTCCGGTCCGCAAATCTCCTCGTCGTCTCTATCTCCTATACGATGGATTTTACCTGGTTTTGTGAGTTTCCGCACGCAAGCCGGCTTGAGCGGCCCCGCCCAAGCCTATGTGGTCCCGCCAAGTCATTCTTCCGCGCAAGCGTGCGCGCCAGCTTCCACTCCCCTTCCCCCGCCCCCCCTGCTCGCCCCGAGTTCCGCCTCCGCCTCCCCTCCCCCGCGCCCAATTGCCTCCCTCGCGGAATCCTCCGCTATCGCCGCTGCAGCGGCCGGGCTCGCGTCGAGCGGAGAAAGCAGCCTTGAGAGATTAGAGACGGGAGGAGCAGCGGGGGGAGGTGAACAGCAGTACGCAAGCGGAGGGCGGGAGTGGCGGCGCGCGGGGAAGGGGGCGACGGCGGGGGGTGCTGGTCGCGGAATGGCGGCGGGGGAAGGAGAGGTCGAAGGGGAAGGAGATGGCGAAAGCGGAAATGCGGTCGCACGTAGAATAGAGTGGTCGTTACCCGTGTGTAACGGGAACGAGGCGGAGAGAGTGAGCGAGGAATGTGGACAGGACGGCGGGAAGGAGAGAAGTCGGAAGAGGCACGGCCAGAGGCGGCCGATTCTCAGATGGATATGGCGGTCGGCGAGCGTTTCGAGCGAAGACAGAGAGGGGAGTGCGGAGAGAGAAGAGGGAGAGGACGAGGAGAGCGAGGAGGGAAGCGGAGGTAGTGACGACGAGAGTGACGAGGAGGAGGAGGAGCGGGAGCGAGACGCGGGGGAGGGACTGGCGGAAGCAGCAGCGAAGGCTGTAGCGCCGGTTGTCAGCGCAAGGCGGGCAGGCAGGGGCAGGAGTCGAGCGAAGACGAGCGGGCTGTGGCGCAAAGAGGCGATGGTCGCAGAGGCGAAGCTACAAGTCACGTAAGAAGCCGTGACCCGCCTTCTCTCGCTCCCCTCCGCCGCTCCTTCCTCCTCTCTCCTCCTTTTTTGTTTTCACGTGGTCATAGAGTCAATTTGTAGTTTCCTCCTTGCGCTCTTTGTCGCCGCCCTGTGCCACCTGTCCCACCCGTTCTCCCCTCTCGTCGCCCTTCTTCCCGCTATCCTCACCCTTCCCCTTCCACCTATCCTCCGCTCTCTTCGCCCTCCTCTCCTCCTTCCCCCTCCCCTCTCCTCCTCCCCACCAGCATGGCATGGCCAATGATGGCAGCCAATCTCCTACAGAATCTCATGACGCTCATTCCGCTCGCCTTCGTGGGTCGTCTGGGTCCGCTGCCGCTCGCCGCCGCGTCCATCGCCACCTCCTTCGCCAACGTCACCGGCCACATCCTGCTCGTGAGTTTGTTGCTCCGCTCTTGCCGATGTGTTGAAATCGCTTTTTGGAATTCTCAAGAGTGATGTCATGTCAGCTCGCCGCCGCGTCTATTGCCACGTCCTTCGCCAACGTCACCAGCCATACCCTGCTCGTGAGTCCGCCACGCTGCTCCCGCTGCTTCAAGCGTCCAACACGTTACAGAACTTCCCGCACTCTCCCGTCCACCTAGCATTGCTCCTGCGCAATTCCCGTTCCTGCCCCCCTTTCCCCAGCTTTCCGCGTCTCCCCGGCCACATCTGAATCACCATAAATTTCACTCCCGTCCCCCTCTTCCCGCCCTCCCTTCCCCTCCACTCCCTCCCCTCCATCTTCCCCCCTCTCCCCCACAACCCCATCCGCACCCGCGACAGCAAGGCCTGGCGAGCAGGCTAGAGACGCTGTGCGGGCAGGCGTTCGGGGCGGAGTGTCCGCTGCAGCTGGGGCTGCACCTGCAGCGCGCGCTGCTGTGCATGACTCTCGCCGCAACCCCTGTGGCCGTCCATTCATGTCGCTGGCAAGCAAGCCTCCGTCCCCTTCTGCCCCACCTTCCCCTCCCCTCCCCTCCATCCTTTCCCCTTTCCCCCCCTTCACCCCCCTCTTCCCCACAACTCCATGCGACAGCAAGGCCTGGCGAGCGGGCTGGAAACCCTCTGCGGGCAGGCGTTCGGGGCGGGGTGTCCGCTGCAGCTGGGGCTGCACCTGCAGCGCGCGCTGCTGTGCATGACGCTCGTCGCCACGCCCGTGGGCGTGCTCTGGTGGTTCACGGAGCCGCTGCTGCTGCTGCTGCACCAGTCCCCGGATATTGCTGCTCTGGGCGCTGTGTATATCCGCTGGCTGCTGCCGAGCCTCGCTGCTGCTGTTGTCATGCAGTGCTTGGAAAGGTGGGAGGGGTGGTGGGAGGAGTGGTGGGAGCGGTGGTGGGAGGGATGGTGGGAGTGGTGGGTGGGAGGGACGGTGGGAGTGGTTGGTGGGAGGAGTGGGGTGGGAGGGATGGCGGGAGGGAGGACGGGTGGGAGATGTTTGAGGGTCAGTGATGCGATGGTTTGAAAAAGGGGAAAGAGGGATGAAGAGAGGTAGGGGGGTGTGGGGTGGGAGGATGGGGCCCGGGATGCACCCATCTGAACCAATTTATAACCCTCAAAGGCCTAATGCGCTACCGAATTATGACAAAACTGAATGCTAACGCGGGTGACAGGGAAAGGGGGGATTTTGTGTGCCAGAAAATGGCGATCGGAGGACGGCGAGTAGGTGTGGGAAGATTGAGGGATGAAGGTGTACGGGTCACGCCTGTATACATCCCTACTGTGACTTACGTCAACGAGTGTGGTACTCGGTATAGCACACATGGTGGCACTGAAAACAGTGCGTGTAATTGCAAAAAAAAGAAAAAATGCACGCAATTGCACGGCAAAATGTCTCTTGTCACTCACGTATATGAAGAGCCTTTGAGCTGCCTCACACTCACTACGACCCACCAAGCCAACCCTTTCTCTTGCATTCCCTTCCCTCCCCCGCTTTCCCCCATTCCCTTTCTCTCCACATGTTCCATTTTCCTCCTTTCCCCCCCCTCCCCCCCAACCGTCTCTCCCCGTCTCCCTCCTTGACGACCTCTTTCCCCACCGATCTCCTCTCCTCCTCCCTTCTCCTCCTCCCTTCTCCTCCTCCCTTCTCCTCCATACCCCCCTACTCCACTCCCTTCTCCACCAACCTTCCTCGCCCCCTCATTCCCCCCTGCAGGTACCTGCAAGCTCAGTCAGTAACCTTCCCCATGGCCGCCTGTGCGCTCGCAGCCGTACTCCTGCAGTTCCCCCTCACCTTCCTCCTCGTACACACTCTCCACTGGGGCCTACAAGGGGCTGCCATAGCTGTCTCTCTGGCCTATATGCTGGACCTGCTGCTGCTGCTGGTCTACATTCGCTGCACCGGCGTGGCCAAGGCTGCGTGGGGCGGGTATAGTATGGAGGCGTTCTGCGGGTGGGAGCCGTTTCTGCAGCTCGCCCTGCCGTCTGCTGTCATGCTGTGGTGAGTGGGGGGTGGAAGAGGGAAAGGGGAGGGGGTGGGGGAGGTGGGGGCGAGGGGAATGGGTGGTTTGGGGAGTGGGATGCAAGAGGGGAAAAGGAAAGGGAAAGGAGTGGGGGAGGGGAGGGTGGAAAGGATCTGGGGAAAGAGGTGGAAGGAATGGGGAAAGTGAGGGGGTAAAGGAGTGAGGAGGATGGGGAAGGGGGAAGGGAGTGGGTGGGGGAAAAGGGGAGGGAGTGATGGCGGGTAGAGGGGAAAAGAAGTGGGGGAAGGGTAAGGGGGAAAGGAGGGAAGGGGGGAAAGGTCTGAGACAGAGAAACCACGCCCCTTACAGTGGCTTTTGGTTGGGTGTTCTTTCCACAAAATATCCCTCTCAAGTTAACTCCATTGCTTTGCTTTATGCCGTATGTTGTTTCTCTCCATCCAACCTCTTCTCATTGTGCCCCGCTTCCTAGTCATGCCTTCCGTATTCCATTCCTTCCCACTCCCCCTCTTCCCCGGCACCACCCCTCGTCTCCCCCTGCTCAGCCTTGAGTATTGGAGCTTCGATATAGTCACGCTTCTGGCCGGCCTCTTGCCTAACCCTGACATCCAAGTAGCCGGCCTCTCTGTTGTGTAAGTGTCCCCATGCACAAGTCCTCCGCTTCTTACTAAAGCTTGCCCGTTCAAGAATCTGTCATGCAGAAACTGTTTTAAGATTTCAAGTCTTGAGACACATGAAGTCTCAAGTTTTTTTTCATCCCACGTTGTCCTCGCCTCCCCTCTGCCACACTGCCCTGCAGTCTGAACACATCAGTGATGGCGTTTGTGCTGCCATATGGCTTTGGCGTGGCTGTCAGCACGAGAGTGGCCAATGAGCTGGGGGCAGGAGACGAGATAGCTGCCCAGCGAGCTGCCACAGTGGGAGTGCTGTGGGCGCTTTTCGAGGCCACGCTAGTCTCCTCGGCTCTGCTCACAGTCCGCTCCTCCTGGGGCTGTGTGTTTAGCACATCCCCTGAAGTTGTCGCCTTTGTTGCTGCCATCATGCCTCTGCTTGTCGCATCTGTCGTCACTGATGCGGTCAATGCTGTTTTGTCAGGTGAAGTTTCTGGGAAGATTTTTCAGGGTTTGTTTGGTTCCATTTTCTCAGGTCTGTTAGTTCCTCTGATATGTTTTGGCTCGTTCCTCGGTTCTTTAAGCCCTTTACATGTTTTCTGTTGTCGTTACCTGTCATGTACCTCGCTGCTCAGCCATTGATTCACTGCTGCTTGCAATCTGGCAACCCTCATTACTCTCAATCTCAGTTATATCACCCTCTTACCCACCACCCCACCTGCAGGCATTGTGCGTGGTTCAGGCTATCAGCAAGTGGCTCTCGTTGCCAATCTTGCAGCGTATTACCTCTTTGGTCTCCCACTTGCTGCCCTACTCGCGTTCTACCTCAAGTTGGGAAGTGTGGTAAGAACATTTTCTTTGTCCCTGACTTCAGGGTTAGGGTTTCATTTATGTTATTCGCTTGTCCTCACCTCAACATCTTCCTCTTCTTGAATCTCTCTTGCTCCATTCATATCTTGTATTTTTCTTGCCGTGTGTATCATAGGGTCTGTGGTCAGGGCTGACAATTGGCACATGCGTGCAGCTAATCAGTATTGCAGTCATCATGGCAAGAATGGACTGGTCGCAAGCGGTACGGCCTTGCATGTGTTTCGTTTTCCCAAGTTCCGCGCACACCATGCTGGACATTGCCCTGAACCTGATGATTCTGCCCATGGCTCTGTTTCACATTATACTCATTTAACCGCTTGTGTCTGCAGGTTGATGTTGCCCGGGAGCGTGTGGAGTCGTCCATGTCCATGGACGACAAGGTTACATATCATAAAAACAGCAGCAATGACTTCACAGGTCTTGGAAGCAGTTTAGGTAGCAACTTGAGTTGCGCCAACAATCAGGACAGTATGGTCATAACCCCCAAGGGAGCCCCTTCCTCTCAGGATGATCTAGACGCTATGCACATTTTGTGCTGATTCTTGCAAGATAACGGTATGGTCGAGCCAACCTTTGCATATGTAAACCTGGTTGTCCAGTATGCATGATGATTAGGGTTATCATCAATTGATGTCGCTGTTGTATGGGTTTACCTAGCCCTCAAATTGGTCGTCCGGTATGCTTGATAATCAGGGTTATCAACTAATTTTTTTTATCATCCAATAAACCAGTCTGCTGAATCAGTTCTGAAACTGAAATCAGCTCAGATTTAGGACTTCACTTAAAAAAAGAGCAGGAATAAACTGCAGCGCTTGCAAGTTGAGATTCAAATAATTTGTCGTCAGCAATAAGTTCACAGAACCTTGAACCATACTCGAATCATCTTTCCTGGTCTAATCAAAGCTAGGAAGCATTACGCCCTGTTACATGGTGCCTCAGCCACATATTATATAAAGATTGGAGGTTCCGTTTCCACCACCTGACGTACTGAGACGATATCATACTGCATAGAGATACGTGTCGGGCATGATGGTCTTACTAGGCTCTGATCGCTTGGACATCTTGGCTCGAGACCGGCTGGAACAAAGACTGCCGTCGCTTGTCTGTTCTGGTTGTTTCATAAGCTTCGTGGATCCACGGTTGAAGTGATCTTGACGGAAGGAAGTGGAAACGTCAAGCTCGTCCTCAATGTGCATCTTGTACTTCTTGAATTCCTCAGCCGTCACATTCAGCGTGAAATTGATTCGAAACAAAAAGTCAAGCTCAAGCTTATTGATTTCATTTGTTCCAATTCCTCCGACGGTGGCAAAGCATGCGTTGTTGAAATACCTGCAAAACAAACACATTGTTAGACGCTATTGCGAACAATGGCCCAGCCATTCAAGTGTTTTCCCTACAAAACTCAATACTCACGCAGATCCCAGAAACTTCGCTGCGACCATAACGCTTGTGACCAGTAGACGGTGAACGTTGAGAGATGTAATTGGCATTCCCGTCGACTTCATGATGCGGTCAATGTAGACGTACGAAACCACGACTGAATCAGGACAGCACCTGGTGTACTTGTAGACCCTCTCCAGATACTTCTGGATTGTTATATCAGGAGCACGTAGTCCATGATATAATGTGACTTCATCAGGAAGAACTGGACGGGAGCCTTCTTGAGCCTCGCAAGCTATCACAATTCTTTCCAGTAATGAAGCCAGACCTTCCAAGAGGTTCGTCAAGGAACTGCCGCTGGTGACAGCTGCAGACCTGATGCTGCTGGCAGAAGTTGTCGTGGTTACGGTGCTTCCGGCAGGCTCGCTGCTGAGAGTACTAGCGGAGCTTGTCGTGCCAACGTGAGAGCTAGACTTCCTGGAGGCGAATCCCCTCGTTCCCATGTGAGGACCCGTCATGTTTGTGTTTGATGGCTCCAACACTGGGAGCTGAGAAATGGTGGTTTGGATGAAGAGTTGGTGTTGAATTTGAGCTCAGTTCGAGCAGGGGAAAGTGCTCTGCGACTCGATGGCTCGAATCTCCGTTGAACTACAAATGACATGGTTGACGCCCACCTGGCGCTTCGAAGTTTGCTCCCTTCGAGCCCTTTGGGAATTGGGATTTTCCCATAGCGAGGATGACGATACTCTTGGGATCCCTTAGACCGAGGAGGTACAAAGAACATGAACACCTACTAAACTTCGCATTAACATGCCATACAAGATTTACTTTGTACAAGGCAAACTAGAAAAGACAATGAAGTCTCCACATCAATTGTAATTGCATTGACTACGCAGTTATTATCCTTTCTGAACTGTTAAAAACACTCCGAATGTTGATATAACCACATTTTTCAGTATGAAAGATTGTATTCATTATCAACAAGCGAACGCTTATACCAGCTTATCAATCACACACACTCTGCAAGGTATGGCACTCATTAAACTGTTCAACTTGTATATTGTTACACACAAACCGTGAAGATTATTATCAGCCTGAACACATCAAGACGAACCACGCAAGTGTTCATGCTTAGCAACGCTTGGTCCCGACACTTTGTCTCCCATTGACCCCATCTCAACATCACTCTCCCCTTCACTCTCCTCCCTTTCAATCTCATCCTCAGCAATCACCATATCCTCCACACGTTCTTCACTCCCAGTGTACTCCCCTGCACGAGCAAACTCACTCAGAAACAACGAGGTCTGCCGCTGACCACGCACCCTCCCTCCACTCCTCCCTCCCACAACACCTTCCCCATCTACATACTCTCCATCTTGGTGCATACCTCCCGCACCAACACCCACAGCACCGTCACCACCTCCACTCATCTCCCTACCCTCCCCGTCAGCACCGCTATGCCCGTCATGTGCCTTCCACATATTACCTCCGTTGCCATTTAACTCATCGCCATCTCTCCTTCTTCCCACTTCCTCTAGCCCCATAGGTGCTCTTCCATCTGTGCGCCACTCAGACTCACTCACAGCAACCGCCCGCAACTGTTCCTTCAGCTCAGCGTCCCCACCACTCTCCCTCCCTTCCACTCCCGCTTCTCCACTCCCGCTCTTCAAGGAGGTTACTGCTCCGTTGCTGCCATGTGACGAGTTGCCACTGGCAACACCGTTCAGGCTGTCTTGATGTGTCAAAGAGGCTGCTGTTGCAGCTGCGGCCGCCGTTGCTGCAGCTACTGCTCCAGACAAAGACGCCTCTGTTTCATCTCCATTGACAGAAGCAACAGCAGCAGCCGGTGTGTGAGTGGCATGAGCAGCAGGCCTGGGTGTCGGTGCCAGGGCGGGGCGCTCTGAGTCCTGCAGCATCCACATGGCAGCATACTTGCCGCCTGCTGCTAGCAGCTGCTCGTGCGTGCCCTGCTCCACCACCCTCCCTGCCTCCATCACCTGCACATGGGAAACAAGGCCAGGCAAGCAGGGACAAGGCACATGGGTGGGACATGAGGAAATGGGAAGGGAGAAGGCATGTGTGGCACAATGTGAGGGTTGTTGGACAAGAGCGCAGTGACCAGGAGTGAAATTCCCTGGCTCTTTGGCTGAGAAGCAATTCGCAAGTGGGTGAAAAACAGTGCGCGAGGAGATTACGTTGTAACAACAACCGTGCCCTCTCACCAGAATCTTATCGCAGTGCTTGATCGTGCTCAGCCTGTGCGCCACAAACAGGCAACTCCTGCCGGCCGCCAGCTGCTGCAACGACCTCAGAATGTTCGCCTCGGTCGCAGAATCCAGAGCACTGGTGGCCTCGTCGCAGACCAGCAGGCGCGGGTTCTTGAGGAAGGCGCGCGCGATGGCCACTCGCTGCTTCTCCCCTCCACTCAGCTTCAGCCCTCGCTCGCCCACCACTGTGTCGAATCCGTCTGGCATGCGGCGAATGGCGTCCAGGAGTTTCTGTGCGGGGGGAAGGGTTGAAGAGATGCGGGCAAGAAGAGGAACGGGGAAGAGGGGACGGGGAGGAGGGGATGAGAAAAGGGAGAGTGGGAGGGGGAAATAAGCAACACAGCAATTCAGCCAATGCATACAGGTATGCATAGGTGTGTGCATGCAGGTGGATGTGGACAAGCAAGAAGAGGCGTGGATGCATGCATGTGGTATCCGCAATTATAAACATGTATGCAAGTGTTCTTGTTTGTATGCTTGACTGTGTCCATGCACCCATGCATCCCATGCAACCCATGCGCCTGTGGCCCCACACGCCCATGCACCCATGCAAGCAAGGCAGGGGGCACTGACCGCCTGGCCAGCTGCGCGGTCGACCTCATCAACGGAGGCAGAGGGACGGCCATACGCAATGTTGTAGCGGATGCTGTCGTTAAACAGCACCGTGTCCTGTGGCACCACCGCCACTGCTTGCCGTAACGACTCCTGTGGGAAAATGAGGGTGGAGAAAGGAAAAGGATGTTTGATTGCGGCACCTCGCTTACAGATCCAGCTGTCATGGAACAGCACTGTGTCCTGTGGCACCGCCACCACTGCCTGCCATAGTGACTCCTGTTGGGGAAAGGAGGGGGGAGAGAGGAGGTAAGGGGAGTGGAGGGGGGATGTGGGAGATAGAGTGTGGTGGTGGCGGATTGGTGAGAGGAGAAAAGGACGAGGAGGATGAAATAAGAGCCTGAGAGGAAGAGAAGTGAGGGAGGAGAAGTGAGAGGAAGGTAGCAGATTCTCCCAGGAACTGAGTGAGTGACTGCTAAGGTGAGTGAAGATACAAATCGTGTCCACGCAGTAGCAGTGTGCTGCAGCATGCAATGCAGCATACATACCGCACTGCACAGCACAAACTGTCACTCGTGCTGCTTCACCATCCCCCCAGCAGCTTCTCACCCTGCCCCCACCCGCTCCCCTCTCCAACCCCTCACCTGCTTGAGCTCGCGGGCATCAGTGCCATCAAAGGAGATGGAGCCCTCAGAGGGGTCGTACAGGCGCAGCAGCAGCTTCACTATGGTTGACTTGCCCGACCCCGATGGGCCCACGATCGCCACACTCTCGCCCGGCGCTATGGAGAACGACACGCCCTTGAGCACCTGGTTAAGAGAGCGGCCGGGAACAGGGAGAGGATTTTTGTCTTTTTTAGGTTTAGGAACTAGGGAGAGGACGCGTTTCAGGATTCATCGAAATGCGCTTGCACGGCATAGGGAAACCCCTTCAGCATTCGCGGGGATGGTGGTGGAGAGAGGAGTGGGAACAAACAGCAAACTGTGATGAGACAGTCACAGGAGGGATTAGGGAATGGGAAGGAGATGTTGCTGAGACCCACTGGCTCCCATGTCTGCCCTGGATTCACCCGCTCACGCCCCCCTTCCACGCACACACCTCCCCTCTCCCAAACCCCTCCTCTCTGCGTCACCTGGCGGCCGTTCATGTAGCTGAAGGAGATGTCTCTGACGTCCACTGCCACGCCCTCCGCTCTTGGCGCCAGCTCCAAGTCCCCATCCTTGAGATCCGACTCCAGACTGGCCGAGAAGAGGGGGGGGGGAAGGAGGGAGGGAGGGACGGTGGGAGGGAGGAAGGGAGGGAGGGGGGTGAGAAGAGAGGCAGGTGGAACAGAAGGAGGAGAGAGGACCGAAAGGATGGCGAGAGCTTAGATTGGGTTACCAGGTGCTCAGGGTGAAGGGCGAGGTGGGAATAGAGGGTGGACTGCAGATCCGAGCACCTTGGTTACAAAAAACTTATTTAGCACCTTGGTCACATAAGCATGTGATAGATTGACCTCAGCATGTGAAAACTCACCTGAACGCGTGAAGAATCACTCGAGCATGTGAAAAATCACCTGAGCATGTGGAAAATCACCTGAGCATGTGGAAAATCACCTGAGCATGTGGAACATGGCCTCCATGTCAACAAGGGACTGGCGCAGGTCACGATACAAGAACCCCAGAAACTGAGAGGAATGGGTGATGGGGGTGATGGGAACAGGGATAAAGTATGAATCGCAGATAGAGGGAAGGTACAGTCAAAGAGTGCGGAGGGAGGGGGGAGTGTGGCAGGAGAGAGAGTGGGAGCGAGAGGGGAGCAAAAAAGGATGGGGGAGTGATGTGGGAAGGTTGCCTTGGAAGCATGCAGGGAGGAAAAATTGGTGAATCGGCAAAAAGGTTGGCAGAGCAAGACCGCAGGGCAAGGGAGATGCAATAGAGCATCACAGGAGGGCAGCAGCAGCAGCAGCAGCGCACCTGCAGCGGCAGGGAGAGCTGGAGAATGAGGCCGTTGACGAGCACTAGGTCTCCCACTGTCATGCGGCCCACAGCCACTCGCAGCCCCGCCATAGCCATCACTGCCGCCAGCCCGATGGAGATTATGGTCGTCTGCCCCCCGTTCAGCGCCGCTGATACCTTCTCCAGGTTCACGGATTCCCTCTGGTAGTCCCGCAGTAGCGAGTCATAGTGCATGAGGTCCAGGCGCTGGTTGTTGAACTGCCATGGCCACGGGGAGGGAAGGGGGAGGAGGTGCGGGTTTGGGGGAAAGGGACGGTTTACGAGAAAGACAGTGGAGAGAGGGAAGGGTGCAGTGAAGGATGAAGAGACCATGCTGCTGTCATGTCCTGCACCCTACGTCACGACGCAGCAACGAGCATGAAGCTACAGAAATGAATAACCTCTTTAGGAAAGGAGATGGGTACCCATAACCTCCACCCACAACTTCCATGCCCCCCTCCCCTTTCCTAACTGTTCCTTTCACACTATCCCTCCCTTTTCATGCCACTTGCTCAGCCTTCCCCACACCACCTCACTCGCTTCACCGCACCCGTCGACACACACAGCCCAGCTGCACCCTAAGGCCTCACCTGCACAACAGTCTCGTGGTTTAGCAGCACGTCCACCACCTTGCCTGTCGCCAGACCGTCCAGGCGATTCACCTGGGGATTGATTGCAGGAAGAGGTGTGGCAGGGATGGGGCAGGGGGGCCGGGGAGAGCGCGCGAGAGTGAGTGGAGTAAAGGCATTGAAGGTATTCCTGAGCGAGCACTCAGGTATGCGAAGTGGGGTTTGATTTAGATAGCAGCATGGTGGTGCAGATCTGGGACAATGACAAGGACTCACGGATGGGCACTGATGCGAAGGTATGAGCAGGGCTGTGCGTGCATCAGTGCATGTGCATGTCTGTGCAAGCATCGCAGCACCTCTTTGCGGATGGAGGAGACGGAGGAGGCCTTGGTGAGGTGAGTGAATGTATCAGTGACTCTGTACAGATGTTTCATTTCAGTGACTCTACAGAATTCCCAGAAACACCTCTTTGCGAATGGAGACGGAGGCCTTGGTGAGGGCGACGGTCCATGCAACGTAGACGACAAAGGTGAGCAACACCACGCCCGCAAAGGACAGCGAGATGTGGTTCGCCAGTAGCGCGCACACCAGCAGCAGCTCCACTGCCGTCGGGATGAACGTGAACACTGGCAAGGGGGGGAAAGGGGGTGAGGAAAAGGGTTGGGAGAAGTGGTGAGTGGAGAACAGAGAGAGAGCAGCGCACACACCAGTAGCAGCTCCACCGCCGTGGGGATAAACGTCAACACTGGGGGGAAGGGTGGGTGGGGGGGTGGAAGAGGGGGAGGGGAGAGGAAGAGGGTTGTAAGGAGTGGTGAGTGGTGAGGAGAGGGAGAGAAGGAGAACGAGCAGGAAAGATCCACTGCCGTAGTAGGGATGAACGTCAATACTTCCCAACAACCCTCTTCGCGTTCCCCAACGGTGTCTTATCATGTCTCACCAACAGCTCTGAAGATCATAATAATAGACCGCTTCCCTCTTTCAATAATCCTCGCAAGCGCGCCGGTCTTGCGGTCGAGGTGGAAGGCGGAGTCCATGGCGAGGATGTGCGCAAAGAAGTGGTACTCCACCCGCCGCCCCACCGCCTGCCCCACCGGCGTGAACACGATGTTGCGCAGCTCTGTTGACACCGCACTCACTGCCTGTAGGGATGGGGGGGTGATGAAGGGATGATGGAGGGGTGATGGACATGGAGTGGGATGGGCGCTTGGTGAGGATACAGGCACACGTCATGCATGCACACCGCCCCACCGCCCACCTGCCCCACGGGCGTGAAGACAATGTTGCGGAGCTCTGTTGACACCGGACTCACTGCCTGGGAGGAAGTGCGGGAGGGGGAAGGGGAGATGAGTGTGGAGAGGAGAGGAATGCTACAGAGCTCTTTTGATCTGGGTATCACAGCACGAGGGATGCTGCTGCGAAAGATCTGTCGTTGTACAAGGGATGGGTTGAAGAGGGTGAGGGGAAGGGGGAAGGGAAGGCGGATATGGAGGGGGATGGGGACTGGTGCATCGTGAGAAGAGTTGAAGCGATGGCAGCACACGCCCCCAACTACCCAAAGAGTGTACAAACTAGGCTTCTTTCCTCCTTCAAGTGCTTCCCCCTTAGGTGCTTTCTCCTCACGTGCTTCCTTATACTCCTCGGGTGCTTTCCCCTCCCCCTCAAGTGCTTCCCCCTCAAGTGCTTCCCCCTCAAGTGCTTCCCCCTCAAGTGCTTCCCCCTCAAGTGCTTCCCCCTCAAGTGCTTCGCCCTCAAGTGCTTCCCCCTCAAGTGCTTCGCCCTCAAGTGCTTCCCCCTCAAGTGCTTCCCCCTCAAGTGCTTCCCCCTCAAGTGCTTCGCCCTCAAGTGCTTCCCCCTCAAGTGCTTCTCCCTCAAGTGCTTCTCCCTCAAGTGCTTCTCCCAGGAGCGCACACGCAGCGACTTGCCTTAGAGGCAGCGGAGACGACGAGAGCAGCAACAGCAGCAATGATGGCCTTGCGTGTGAGGCCCTGCACCGTGGTCAGCGCGTCCAGCGCCCGCTTGAACATCAGCGGCCCCGCTAGCCCCGCCGTCTGCCACCCGTGAGGTGGGGGGTGTGTCGGGGTGTAGAGGGGTGTTTAGGGGTGTGGGGGGGTGTGGAGGTGTGCGGGCGGTTGCAGGGGTACGGACGTGTGGGGGAGGAGGCAGGCAGGTCAGGGGAGGTGGGATAAGGGGAATGGAGGAAAGGAGAGAGAAGAGCGGGAGGGTTGGCTGGCAGGGGGCAAGGGGGGGAACGGAGAGAGGAGAAGACAGGTGAGTAGCTGGGAATGGAGGTGGGTAGCAAGCAGGCTTCCTTCACAGCAAGGGAGGAGGAGAGAGGCGAGGCAACATGAAGTCCGAGCACACGGAACAGGCGACGTCCATGCACGACACACACAAGCACTCACCTTCTCCTCTCTAGTTGACTCACCATTGCTTCCAATCTCAGCACCCTCACCCTCACTAACTCCTTCCAATACCTTGCCACCAGCATCCCCTTACGAGAGAGCTCCCCCTATCCACCGCCGACACTTCACCACCCTCCTTCCTCTGCACTTTTCGCCATCTTTCCCCGTTTTCTCCCCTGCAACGTAATCACCCCCTCCCTCTCCCCGCACCACCACCTACCCCAATTCCCCTCCAAAGCTCTTTCCGCTTCGACCTCTTGACAATCCTTCCCCCGTTTCCCCTTTTCTTCTCTCCCCTTTCCCCTCTCCCCTTTTCCCCTCTTCCCCGCACCCTACCCCCTTCGTCTCTCCCCGCATCCGCCCTCTCCCCTTCCCCCCCCCCCCCACCTTGCCCGCGATGAGCAGCAGCAGCGCCACGAGGATGCGCCACCTCAGCGACCTGTCGTCCGCCGCCAGGCGCCACAGGTACGGCAGCACCTGGGGGGGGAGGGGGAGAGGGGGAGGCGTGAGGGAGCGGGGAACAAGTTGAGCGACCACAGGCGCCACAGGTACGGAAGCACCTGGGGGAGGAGAGACGGTGAGGGGGAGGGGGTGAGTGGGAGTGGGGCGGTGGGGGGTTTGTTGGTAAATAGTGGGGTTTGCACTGGAGGGAACAGCGCCGGGGCAGACGTGCACGGAGGGCGATGCGCGCGCGCAACCCTGCCCGCCCTCTCCAATCTATTCTCTTCTCCACCAACCACCCTGCCCGCAGCGGACCGCGCCTCGCCCCCAGTCGCGCCCTACCCCCAGAATCGATGAGTCCTTAGGCGACGGCGGCAGCGGCGCCGGCGCCGTGGCCCACGACGAGTGCAGCCGCGGCGGCGCGTCTGCTCCCGCATCCGCCTCCCACGCAAACACCTTCCGCCGTCCCGCTGCGCTCCGCGCGCCGCCAGCGCCAGCTTGCGCCGCGTCCGCCTGTCCGCCCGGTGCTGCGGCAGCAGCTGCTGCGGCGGAATTCGAGCCGGAATTCTCGCGATGGCCGTCTCCAGCCGGCCACGGGCTCGCGGCAGCAGCGGCGCTAGCTGACGTCACGAGGCGGCGGGTACTATGGGTCCCATCAGGGCGGGAAGAAGTGCCGGGAAGGCGGAGGCGTGGGGGAAAGAGGCGACAGGTGGAAGCGGAGAGGAAAGGCGAGGGGGAAGCGACCGCCTTGGGATGGTGCGAAGGACAGGAAATATGTCGTTGGGAACGCGGAAAGGCGGCGCTACGAGCGTATGATGCGATCGGACAGGAAGAGAGCAGAGAGCAGTGGTCTCGAGTCGCGCGAATAGGAGAGGCGCCTAAATTAGCTGGCCGAGGCGCCATCGTCGTTGGCGCGACGGCAAGCGAGGATGGAGGGGTCGACATGACGGTGTAAGAAGGTCCGTCAAGACATACAGTTGTTGTTGGCGTTGCTGCACAGTGCGCGGCACGCGGTCCAGAACTATGGATACGAGACGCGCACGAGAATGCAACGACAGGAAATGGTAGTAGACTGCGCCAAGTTGCGCTTCGCGGGGCGGCAATGTTTGATGCAGAGCAGACTTCACGGGACGTCGTATTTCTGAGGGGAGGGGCTTTCGAAAGAGTTCAGTCTTGCGAAACCCTTTGGTGGTAACTAAGATTTTTGCGACACTCAACATCAAGGATTGCGTGCGCCCTTCCAATCGCGCGACCCCACAACTCCCTGGCCCGAATCGAGGTTAGGGGCTGAACGACACCGCCGAATAACGAGGTTTCGCCACGTATCAGTTGTGAACGACCATTAACAACGTGCCACGTTGACAAGTCTGTGAGACGTAGTTGCCTGCTCCCTTTCTACTCTGGCGTTTAAATGCATACACCTTTAGGACGCGTAACCTGAAGCGGATCGATCGGCTGGAAGATCGTTTTTAGGCATGGGGTGTAACACTGTAACGTCGTAATCAGCGAGGTAACTGATTTTCGTGAATGATCGCGAATGTACAGTAAAAATGTGCCCACGAACCTGTCACCTATGGGAGCCCTGATCGATACAGCAAAGTAAAAATATCGAGCTTGAGATTGGGTGGCGGGGTGTGGAATTTCGCGCCACATTGACAATCAGTTTCGCATACCCTAAGTTTCCCATTGCGATTCTGCGCACGACAACATCGCCGTTGTCGCAGGCTAGGTTACCACAACCCCGTAACCTGCCATACCGAACCTGTCACCTGTATATCGGTGCGCCGTAGCTGCGCAGTCATGGGCACCGATCTCTACCGAGCTTGGGCTCGAAATGACAATCGGTGCGGATCCGCCGATCTTAGGCCGACCCGCTTCAGGTGACGCGTCCTTAATCCACCCACTTGAAAGGAAATGAGGTAAGGCAAAAATATTAACCCGGCTTTGTTGTTTATTGTTTACCATGCACTTATCGTGTCTTGCAAAAACATGCCAACCGATTTTCATCAAGAGACTCTGTGTACAATATCCACAAAGGCCACCTTAATAATTACAATGGATGCATATATACAATACGCTGCAAAAAAAAATATATATATACAAATCCTTTTCTTCCTTTAAATCCTCATTCTTCATATGCACGTGCATGCCATGTCACGGCTCATGTTAATGCCCATTGCCCTCATTTCGCCTCCACGGGCTGACCGCCATATGTATGTTTGTAAATGCTCGAAAAATCATCTGCCGTCGCACCCTCCCTCACCATGTCAGCATACCTGAATAAGCACATGCACACAATGAGTGGCCACACCATGGAGCACTGGGAGCAGAAAACCACTTGACAGAGCCAGGAAAACACATGCTTAGAGGTGAAGATCCCAAACAAACACCTTCCCGGAAATTTATTATGTGTAGTGCGATTTCTCAACAAATTACATTGTAAAGTAACTGTGCCTTCACACCACAGCCCCCGGCCAAGCATCCCATCCGCCCCAGGTCTCACATGGCCATGACGTTCTTTCCCAGTGGAACCGGCGCCCCTGCTGCCTGTGCTGCCGCCACTGCCAGACCCAGGTCCTTGCTCTGAGGGGGACGGGACGGAAGCAGGGAACGCAGGGGATGTGGTTGCAAAGGAAGAGCTGGAGCAGTGATGGTGGCGGGAAACGATTGGGTATTCAGAAAATCTCCAGGAAGGTGGTGCGAAGGGAAGACGTGGAGGGATGGAGACGGAGCAGGTGCCGTTGGAGACAAAAGAATGATCAGCGGGGAAGAGAATGGGGAGAAGGGGATACGATGAATATATTCACAAAAAGAAAATAAGTAGAGATGTATAGATGAGTAACAACCTATGAATACGTGTCGCTGCTCACACTTGTCCACTGCCTTTCTCAATGCAGACAAGTCAGAACGTAACACTCTGGCAACACGCATACGTGCCTAGGTAGTGAAACAGCATGCCATGCCATGCCATGCCCGCACCACACACACCAGCACACCACCAGGCACACACCGCCCACAGCAGCACAGACCATGAGGGCGTTGGAGAAGCCGCCCTGGTAGTGGCGTGCAGAGGGCACGCCCTGCATCACGCCCGGTGCCGGGTTGTACACCTCACTGATTCCCCGTGGCATGCCGCCATGGTGGTGCGGTCGCAGCAGGAGAGAAGGAGAAGACGAGGGGGAAGGGGGAGAGGAGAGTTGAGTGGGGCTGTGGAGTTAGTTCATGGGGCATCATGGGGGACTTGGGGGTGAATGCATGAGCTGAAAGCATGGGACGAGATTAATTGTAGCAGCAGCAGCACGGGACCACCTACCACATACACGGCAGCAAGCGTGGGGTGCCCCACCTCACCTGGACCAGCACTTGGCGGAGGAGGAGTTAAAGATGGCGGAGAGCAGCGCCGGGGAGAGGCCCAGGCGCTGCCCCAGAGCAAGGGCCTCGGACACTGACGCCATCTGAATTGCCAGTGCCAGGTTGTTGCATAGTTTCGCCGCCTGTCGGGATGGATGGATGGATGGATGGATGGATGGATGGATGGATGGATGGATGGATGGATGGATGGATGGATGGATGGATGGATGGATGGATGGATGGATGGATGGATGGATGGATGGATGGATGAACGGACGGACAAACGGACAAACGGACGGACGGACGGACGGACGGACAGTGAGGTAGTTGTGACGTGCATTGTGAGCCCAGTGCAACACATGGCACACAGCACATAGCAGCGGATGGCACATGGCATAGAGGCATGCGTCCCCATAGCAATCTCACCGAGCCGGATCCAGAGGGGCCGCAGTGCAGCGCACGAGAGCCCATGGCTGCCAGCAGCGGCTCCGCCATGGCGAATGCTGCTGCCGTGCCTCCCACCTGGTGTGAAGAGGGGAGGGGCGAGGGGGGTGAGAAGGGGGGTAGGAGAGGAAAGGAGGAGAGGAGATGAAGAGGGGAGTGCCCATGGCTGCCAGCAGCGGCTCCACCATGGCGAATGCTGCTGCTGTGCCTCCCACCTGGTGTGACGGGGGGGGAGAGGTGCAGAAGAGGAGAGGGCAGGGAGGAGGGGAGGAAGTGAGGGGGGAAACGGGAGTGGAGAGGAGGAGAAGAGGGAAGGAGAGGAGGAAAGGAGGAGGAGGAGAGGAGGTTGCAGTAGGGATACAGGGAGAGGTGCATGCATTAGGCAGGCTACAATGGGCCCATTTGTATGCTACAGACCATGGCACAGTCGAGCAGGACGCAAGGCAGGAGGGAGAGATCACGAGCAGGACTCAGGAGTAGGTGCCTACACAAGCAAGTCCACCCATAAGGAATGCAATGGGTATGCGCATCGCACCATGAAGGTGAGTGTGCCTGCCTTAGCGCCAACCACACCGCCCGACACTGGTGCATCCACTACCAAAGGGGGACCTGAAGCGGAATGAAGGGAACGCAATGCAGGAATCGAGGGAAGCTTGGGGGAAAGAAGGGAATGAGGAGAGTGGGGAACGGCTGGGGCAATGGGGGAAAAAGGGGGTCGCGACGTGAGGGGAATTGGCTGAGTGGGAAGATGTGGACCGAGAATATTGCTGTGATGTGAACGTGGGTACAGATGTGGGCAGGCAGTCAACCAGACTGAAATCAGCACCCACGCGGCATGCACACACGGCAACCGCCCTGTCAGACCGACTCGTGAGTCAAGTCACATACCAGGTATGTGTGCACGCCAGCAGCTAGTGCAGAGCCGAGTGACTCACATGTCCCTCTGCGCCCACCCACCTTGCAGCGAGTGCATTGCGCTGGGCGCCACGTGGCATGCTTGTACGGCAGCTGCGAGGGCGTGACACGTGGCAGGGTCCACAGTGGAGGCATCGATGAGGAGGTGTGGCCTGATGGTGTGTGTGGAGGAGAGAGGCGCGGAGGAAGAGGGGGAGGAGGGGAGAGGAGAGGAGGGGGAAGGGGTGGAGGCGGAGGGGGAGGAGGAGCGGGAGGAGGAAGGAGGGGATGAAGGGGAAGGAGTGGAGGAGGAGGGAGTGGATGGGGCGGTGGTTGATGCTGTGAGCACGCCACTTGGGCCCGTGTATACGTCTAACACCTGGAGGCAGAATGAAACGGGAGAGAGGGAAAGAACACGTGTGGGAAGTGAGGGCCAGGCGGGTCTGACTCTGCGCCTGAACCTGAACATGGGTCGAGAGTTGCCACGACGTTTGCGACTCTGAAAGGAAGTTTTGAGCGCATGAAGGCGACTCCAAGCCCGAAGAGAAACAGGTGCATGGGAAGGTGTGGCCGGGAGAGACACGGTAAGGCGTTAGATCAAGGAACAGACAGAGGCAGGGAGCATAGCAACCGTGTGGTTGCTAGTAGCAGCAAGCTGGACTGGGGGCACCGTTTACATCAACAAGCCCTGGCATCTCACAATAGCAGGCGTGGGTAGCATCGTTATAATCACATCCGCTTTAGAGGCCAGGTCTGCAGGCGAGTCCGCTGGTTGCGCGCCCTGCTGCACCAGCGACGCCATGGCTGCCTCGTTCCTGCCAGGGCACAGGACGAAGAGAGCAGCGGCGTAGCGATGAGGGGGGACGAGCTCGAGACGAGGGCGAGATGAGCGCGAGACGAGCGCGAGACACGAGGCGTTAAGCATGGTAGGCATTGATAAGGATGGGAAAGGCCGGGAGAAACGGGACGAGGCAGGAAGAGGCGGGGTAAGGAGGAGAGCGGTGGGGGGAGGGGGGGGGCGAGAGAAACGGGGAGAGGCGGGCGACCTGTCGAAGACGGCGAGCGGGTAGTTGTGGCGGAGAACGTTGGCCGCCATGCACGCTCCCATGTTGCCCAGCCCGATGAACCCCACCACCGCCTGCACGAAGCGCATGGGAACGACGCGCACGAGCACGACGGGCACCGAGTGAAAAAGAGAAAAGAAATAAAAAGAGAATAAAAACGGGGGTGCGCAGTTCCCACCCACGAAATTTGCAGGGATAATGTCTACTAGAAATAACAGCAAAACGAAAAGGAGCATGGTCTCTAGCACAGCGTGTGCCGACGTCGTAATAGAACCATGGGCCTTGCCTTGAGAGAGTGAGCGACATTGCTGGCAGCAGCAGAAGCCATGGCGGCGTAAAGCACGGAATTCGGCTCACGAACAGACTCAAACTTGCGTGACTTCAAGCCTCCGTAGCTTTGCTCATTCGTGAGTTCCATAAAACATAGATTCACTTGCATAACAGTTCAGCCGATCGACTCAAGCATTTCGAATCGCAGCCGTTGGAGGATGAGATGTGCTGCTGCCTTCCAAACGAGTGCAGTTGACAAACCTTCCTGGCTGCCATGCCACGCCATGACACGTCAAATATCGCTGCTTCTGTCTGGTCGCCAAGTTTGTGACGTCTGACGCGATTGGGAACTGGGAGGGGCTTCATACAAGAATGTTTATTACTCAAAAATGAGCAACTCTATTTAATGGTCTTGTGATCCCAAGTAGAAAGTGATAAAGAAGACTTAATGCTACCCGATGTCATTGAGATATTTTTGGAATTATATTAATTCAATAAATACAATTTGGAAGTCGTATAGATTATAGAGGTTTGGCAAAAAAATGTCATATCATGATATAGAAGTAAACCCTCAAATTTACAAAATATGTGACAAAATAAGTCATTTTTTGGGGTTTTGAGTTTTATAACACGGTCTGAATGCCGTGCAAAGAGGCTGACCTATCATACAGCTTAACATCTATACTGGGTTATTACAGAATATGTACAAAGCATCTGTGCACTAACGGATGAAACTGGACCGAATCTCTTGTCGCGTGATCTCTGTCCACGCGAGCAGCCACCTGGACTCGCAAAATCCATGCGTGTGCTGGCTGACGCATGGTGGTGCTGTAATCCACGGCTTTCCAGGGTTTCGGCAAGCCTTAAACGTTTTCTTATTGGGCGTGAATTGCGTTCGGGTTTCCAGGCCCGTTCGATTACTGCAGCCAGCTGGGCTTCGCCGCGTGTTTTGGGAGTACAGTTGCGTGGATGTTTGAGCGGCTCCACTCGGCATTCCAATCGAGCTTGAGGTGAGCGACTCGGATGATTCGGGCGAATGGAAGGGCACATATCAAACTTTTTGAGCCTTTTTATCCTGGGCAGGTCCAATAATGGAGAGCGTTGGAACTTCGAAATCATCCTCACCCAATGGGCTCGCTACCAGCAGCATTCTGTTCGGCTGACCTGCCTGGAAAATCCTGACAGGAGCGCCCCGCTCTGCCCGGCTGCCAGTGCACACATCCTCCCATCCATCCTCCATGGCATGACATCCCCTTCATTGCCTTGCTCAAACTTCGAGACCCAGCACGCATGCACAATGCACAGGTGAAGTTGCTTTACTGCCATCAGACTTCACTCCAACCTGCCATCAGACTTGACTCGAACCCAACCCCTTCTATTCCGAATTCAGTCGTGCTGCTCGAGCATATTTTGCCCCAGTTCACCTTTTCCAAACGTTCTTCCCCTGAATCGAATTCAGGTCTTGTACAAACTCAGTTCGCTTCTTTCACTACGAAAGCCAGTTGGTACTTGAGCTCAAAGCCTCTCTCGGCCTTCCGACTGTTCTGAGCTGCTACAGGAGGAGGTCTCGTGTCATAGACGTTTCTTGCAGTGGAAATAGAATCTTGTCAGGAGGCTTCGCGTATGTTTTCTGCTCAATCAGCGTGTGACCGCCCTTCCTATTTTTTCAGGAGCACCTGCACGCGTCATTCGTTCTGATTAATTGACGCACGGTAGCTCTACTGCGTGTCCCTTGACCGTGTTCCTGTCGGGTGCAGTAGTTCCTTTTTCTTGAATCCCATCCGTCAGCATGCCGCCTCCTTCTATGCCAGAAATTCACGGAGGTTGCAGAGAACATCCTGCGCCGTCCAAGGTATCAATGGCTCCAAGAAAGCCAGCAGCGGCAAGGAGTCGTCCGTTGCCGCTGACGTCGCTGAACCACGTGTCCATCCACTGCAGCAATGTGGAGCAGTCCGTGAATTTCTACTGCGACGTCATGGGATTCGTGCCCGTGCGCCGCCCCGACTGCCTCAACTTCGACGGCGCTTGGTATGCGTCCCACGCCCTCCGCGCAATGTCATGCCAGAAAAACATTTTGTGGCGGGTGAACGGCCCGTGTTGTTCTTAAATCTCCATCGGTGGAGAATAATCGTTTACTACTAGCTGCGCTTGGTTGCGTGTCTTGTTAAAATAATGTTCGTACATTCCGTTCCACACCTCAGGTTGTTCAACCATGGGATTGGAATTCATCTGCTGGGGCAGAGTGAGGACCCCCATGCACCGCAGTTGCGAGTCCCGAAGGAAATCAACCCGAAATCGGACCACTTCTCGTTCCAGGTAAGGAGCACCCAATCATGTTCCGTACCTTGATTCCGCGGACCGTCACGTGTTTCACGAACCCGAAGCTCGTTCCCTGATACCTCTGTTCCTAGTCTTGAATATCACTTCGAGTTCATGTCGTCTGCTTACTCGCAATGGCGCCATTTCAGTGCGACGACATCGAGGAGGTGGAGAGCGGTCTCGAGGAGCGAGGCATTCCGTTCCTGCGGCAATGCGTGGAGGAGGCTGGAATCATGGTGGAGCAGCTCTTTTTCCACGACCCTGACGGCCACATGATTGAAGTCTGCAACTGCGACCTGCTTCCCGTCGTGCCACTCCAGGCCGACCCTGACATGCCTCTCACTCTGCCGGCCTGCGTGCGTCGTAAGCCGCAGGCGTGTGGGAGGCAGGTGCTGGAGAAAGGGCAGCAGGAAAGCTGCGGCCATAGCAGTGACGATAGTGGCAGTGAGAGCGGTTGTGATGAGGGGAAGGAGAGGGAAGGGTGTGAAGGGTCTGGGGCAGATGAAGGGTTTTGCAACACAATTCAAGTTGTGGAGCAGCAGGGTGGAAGTTGCACAAGAAAGGTGGCATGCTAGTGAGCATACTTGCATTCATTTCGTATAATTGATATTGTATATCCTGTATATCATTGATGCATCCGTTAATTTGTATCATTCCGTGTATATCGTTTCCTTGGATGTGCCGTCACCATGTTGTTTAGGTGGAAATTAATGACCCACCAACGCCAAGTTTGAATAATATTAATAGACGCTGAACCAAAAATAGAATTGGTGCTAGCTTCTAAACTATATTTTGCCCTTTAACGCGTATCCGATGTTAATTACAACTTACGTCCACTCCTTTCTGAGCCCGTGCGAATGCACGTGGCTGCATCCGCCCCCCCACCCCGCGTATCGCCCACCCAACCACATCGCGCCTCGCGTCCTAGCCTCCCCGCCTATCCCTCAGCCTCACTTCCTCAGCGCACGCCTATCGCATCCATGTCGGCTTGCGACTGCCTCCCGCCATGCACCCTTCCGCCTTCACCGCCCTTTCCCGCAGGGAGGTTGGCCGCGCGCCTCTCTTTGGTCAGCGCGCGCGTGTATGCTCCCCCGTCGGCGCGACTGACCCTCCCCCTCTGCTCCCCGGCGGCTCCGCTTCCGCCACTCCCCGCGCGCCGTATTGTCCCCGCGCGCTTCCTGGGTATTTGAGTGCGCGCGCGTGGGCGTCGCTGCAGCCGGCGGCGCATGACTGCTACGATTACGCGCTCTCGACTTCCGCTTCCGCCATCCAGGCGCGTTCCGCGCATTGCGCAAACCGTCCAGCATACCTCCTTACAACCCGCGCGCCTTACGCACCCCTCCCCACCCCCGCCCACCTCACCTCCTTCCCACACACTTACCTCCGTTTGCTCATCTCCCTCCCTCTCTCCTCCACCCTCCCCTCGTTTCCTCCGCTTCCCCCTTTTTCCCCCGCAGGTGGACCCCGCGGAGCAGCGCTATCTTCTGGTGGGCAGCGCGGCGGGCGCAATAACCGCATTCGACACCGCCGCGCCCACCGCCGTCGACGCCTTCGCGCACCCCTGCCACCCGCCCCTCTTCACCCTCCCCCGCGCGCCCTCCTCCGACTCCGCCGCCTCCGCAATCGCCGCGCGCGCGCTCGCGGACGCTTCCGCAGCGTCCGCGGCGGGCGTGGCGCACTCGCTGGCGGTGACGGGCGTGGCGTGGTACCCGGTGGACCCGGGGCTGTTCCTCTCCGGGTCCCTCGATGGCCTCGTGAAGCTCTGGGATACCAACACCCTCCAGGCGTGTGCCCCTCTTTCCACTCCACACTCCCCTTTTCCACCTGTCCCCCGGTCTTCCTTCCCCCCCTTGTCGTCCTCTTCACCCTCAGCTGACCTTTTTCTCTGGCATTGGTTCTCGGTTTCTCCTCCCCATCTCCCTCCTCTCGCTCACGCACATGCTTCTTGTCTGGTATCCTTCGAGTGCTTACCCCTACACACATCCTTCCTGTGTCCCCCCTTCATTTTATCTGCTCCTTCCTCACCAGCCTTGCTCGTCATCCCGCGCATGACACTCCCACCCCCCAATCACGCCCGGCCTTATCCCGCCAGGCGCTGCTGGCATTCCACATGGCAGGGCAGGTGCGGGACGTGGCCATGTCACACGCACAGGGGGCGCCACTGCTGGCAGCGGCGGCGTGTGAGGACGGCAATGTGCGCCTCTGTGACCTCGCCTCAGGCGCTGCCACTCACATGCTGCGCGCCTCTCAAGGTGCCTCCCAAGGTGCCTCCCAAGGTGCCTCCCAAGGTGCTCCCAAGGTGTCTCCCAAGGTGCCTCCCAAGGTGCCTCCCAAGGTGCCTCCCAAGGTGCCTCCCAAGGTGCCTCCCAAGGTGCCTCCCAAGGTGCCTCCCAAGGTGCCTCCCAAGGTGCCTCCCAAGGTGCCTCCCAAGGTGCCTCCCAAGGTGCCTCCCAAGGTGCCTCCCAAGGTGCCTCCCAAGGTGCCTCCCAAGGTGCCTCCAAGGTGCCTCCCAAGGTGCCTCCCAAGGTGCCTCCCAAGGTGCCTCCCAAGGTGCCTCCCAAGGTGCCTCCCAAGGTGCCTCCCAAGGTGCCTCCCAAGGTGCCTCCCAAGGTGCCTCCCAAGGTGCCTCCCAAGGTGCCTCCCAAGGTGCCTCCCAAGGTGCCTCCCAAGGTGCCTCCCAAGGTGCCTCCCAAGGTGCCTCCCAAGGTGCCTCCCAAGGTGCCTCCCAAGGTGCCTCCCAAGGTGCCTCCAAGGTGCCTCCCAAGGTGCCTCCCAAGGTGCCTCCCAAGGTGCCTCCCAAGGTGCCTCCCAAGGTGCCTCCCAAGGTGCCTCCCAAGGTGCCTCCCAAGGTGCCTCCCAAGGTGCCTCCCAAGGTGCCTCCCAAGGTGCCTCCCAAGGTGCCTCCCAAGGTGCCTCCCAAGGTGCCTCCCAAGGTGCCTCCCAAGGTGCCTCCCAAGGTGCCTCCCAAGGTGCCTCCCAAGGTGCCTCCCAAGGTGCCTCCCAAGGTGCCTCCCAAGGTGCCTCCCAAGGTGCCCTCCCAAGGTGCCTCCCAAGGTGCCTCCCAAGGTGCCTCCCAAGGTGCCTCCCAAGGTGCCTCCCAAGGTGCCTCCCAAGGTGCCTCCCAAGGTGCCTCCCAAGGTGCCTCCCAAGGTGCCTCCCAAGGTGCCTCCCAAGGTGCCCCAAGCCTCTCAGCTGCCCACCCTGGTGCCTCTCCCTCCTCTCCCTCTGTCCCCATCCACCTCTCGTCCCCACACATCCCTCCCTTCTCCGCCGTCCCCATCCTACTCCCCCGCCCCCCTCCCCCTACCCACCCAAACCAACCACCCCCACCCCGCCCCAGGCGCCATCACGAGCCTGTGTTGGTCACCCGCGTCGCCCTTCCACATGGCCTCGGGATCATCAGCGGGCGCCATCCGCATCTGGGACATCCGCCGCCCGGCCCCGCTGCACTCGCTGCACCACCGCCACTCGCAGCCCGCCCTCCGCCCGCCCCTCCTGCCACGCGTGCTGCCGCCGCCCCCGGCATGCCGGGCGGCAGCACAGGGAGGAGGAGGGGGAGAGGCGGCGGGGAAGGGCGGCAGGGGGGCGAAGGCGTTGAGAGGGCAGAGGGCAGTGAGAGGGCGGGCAGAGGAACGGGTTGGGGGTGTGGGGAGCGAAGGGAGGGGGTTGGGGGATGGGAGGGGATTGGTACACAAGCGAGGGAGGGAGGAGAGCGTGGGTGCTGGGAGGAAGGGGGCGTGCGAAAGATGGAGGGTTTCAACGGCGGTGGGGAACGCAGGGAAGAGGCAGGGGAAGGCGGGGCGGAATGAGGAGAAGGATCAGCATGGGTTTGTGGGGTGGTGGGGGGGAGGAGGGGGTGTGCGTGTGAGAATTGGGCAGATGGGAAGAGGGCAAGGCGAGTGGGGGAGGGGAGGGGTGGGGCCGCAGCGGCAGTGGAGGGATGAGGCAGAACAGGCGGCGCACGAAGGGGCTGTCCTCTCCATGGCTCCCACCCCCAATGGCCTCTTCCTCCTCTCCTACGGTCTCCTCTGCTCTCCACCCCTCTCCCCTTATCTCTCGCTAGCTCACCCCAACCTCCATTGATGGTGTTCCTCTAATCGCGTTCACGCCCACCCGATATTGCATGCATGCATGCCAACTGTTCAGATCAGATTGTGCTCCTTCTTGGGTTAGCTGCTGTGGAAAATGCACACGTCCGCCTCACCTCTCCCTCACCACACACTGCGCTTGCACACCCCCGCGCTGTTGTCACACGCCTTCTCACTCTACTACCTCAGGCCTCTCACCCTCGTAGCGCCGTGTCTCCTCCCCTCCCTTCCCCCCCTCCCTTCCCCCCCTCCCTCTCATCCGTGCACAGGCTCAGACCAGCGATTGCGACTGTGGGACGTGGAGGCCGGCGCCAACACGCTCATCCATTATGCAAATCAGAGAGCGCCACGTGGCGCGCTGGCGTCAGAGGCCACAGTGCGGTTCTGCATGTCCCATGACGGGTCGCTGGTGTTCCTGCCTCAGGGGCCAGCCATCCAGGCAAGCACAGGCTGCTGCTCCTGCCACCACCACTGCTGCTGCTTCTGCCACCACCACTGCTGCTGCTTCTGCCACCACCACTGCTGCTGCTTCTGCCACCACCACTGCTGCTGCTTCTGCCACCACCACTGCTGCTGCTTCTGCCACCACCACTGCTGCTGCTTCTGCCACCACCACTGCTGCTGCTTCTGCCACCACCACTGCTGCTGCTCCTGCTGCCACCACTGCTGCTGCTCCTGCTGCCGCCACTTCTGCTGCAAATGCTAACATGGGATTGCCATAACTGTCTGACTCTTCCTCCCCTTCCCACATGCCTCTGCAGGTGTTTCACACATGGACAGGGGAGTCCCTTGCTTCTCTGCATGCTCACTTCGACAACGTTATGCTTTGCTGCTCTCACCCCGCCGTGCCCGTGCGTCCATCGCTCTCTCTGTTTGCATCTTTCTCAACCTCTCGCATATTGCTGTCATTTCGTTGCTGTTGCAAAATGACAGCAGGCCCATTCCCCTCCGCCTTGTTGCGCTCTTTTCCCCTCCGCCCATTCCCATTCCAATCTCCCTTCCAGTCTTTCCGTCCTAAAATCGGTTCTTGCACTCTTCAGATCTTTGTCTGTGCTCCTCTTCTCTCCACCTCTCCCCCTTTCAGCAAGTCTTCTCTTCCGGTGCAGACCGCCAGCTCCTTTCCTGGACATCCCCTTTCCTAGACCAACTTCACTCGCCTCAGTCACACTCATCCACTGTACGCCACTCCCTTCTCATGCTTCCTCTCTGAAGCCGAAACCTGAAACCATGACATGTGTCTCTCTCGTGCTTCATGTTCCCTCTCTCTTCCTTGTGGCTTGCTTGATGATTTGCGCCGAATTTTGCTAAACTGCACATGCAGTCAAGATCACGGGCCTTTGTACGACATATACAACAAGGACCTCTGCCTGACGAAGATGCATGGAGTGACTAATGCACAGGGAAACGTGATGGTTGCATACCAGTTTCTTCGTTACAACATTTTCTCTCTTTTCCCGAAAAAGGGTCAACATACGGTAGGTTGATCTGACATGCATGTATGCTAGATATTGTTCACTTGTATGCTAGGTTGATCTTATTTTGTTGTCATCTTTTCTGGGGCAGAGGTCAGTGTAGGTCATGATGCGTAGGTATATCGAGCTATAACTGTAGTGATCCTTGAGCAAGTCGCACATCCCATCCCTTCTACCCGAGGTGGATTGGGTTTGACGCTAAACCGGCGAAAATGCCGTTTCGTATACCAGCCGTCAGTCACCCTTTTCCGGTCTGACGATTACCGTCCAGTTGTGTGGCCTCCACCCCGTGGGCTCTGATCTCGTCTCGACATTTCCAAGGCTTCTCCCGTCCTGTTGGCCGCAGCCAGGGCAGTGGGGTCGCAGGATTGGCCAGGAGACAGGCGAGACATGATCACCCACACGTGACGCGTCAGTCAGGCGACAGCAGCGAGAGAGAGGGCAGATCATCAGATAGTCCACACACGGAAGATCTAGGGAGTAAATAGTAACTAGAGCGATCTGGGCTGCAGCGCATAGTGTTGCGCTTGCGAAGGTAGACGCGGGCCGTGCGGGCTCGTAGGTGCCTCATTTTTGCCGGATTCTCCGCCTCCAGCGGCCTCGTTGCGTGATTTAGCGCACGCGCTAGTGGCGTTTCGCTTGATGACCGTTGACGATACCGCTGCGAATATATTTAGACAAGCCCTTACGGAAGTGGGCACGCGCGTCGCCAGGATTCGCAGTTAGTGCGTTTCGCTCGTGCGCCACACGTGCGTGTATTTTTTCCTTCTTCTTTCCCGAATCTCCTCAACGACCTAAATCACGGCTGACGGCGAACAGCAAGGTTAAGCGGAACGCGGTGAGGATCCGCCATGGCGGACCCCATCTATTCTGCCTTCCCTCCCCCCTCCTCCTCCTCCTCTTCCTCTTCCTCCGCCTCCGCATCCGCCTCAGCGTCCTACATGAATACTGGTTCCGCGCCTGGTCGAGGCGCGGTACCTATATCGACTGTGCTCTCCCCGTCATCCGGCGTCGCGACGTCCAACACAACCACGTCTCCATATTTCTCCACCGCGCCTTACGCCTCGTCTTACACCTCGCCCTCCTCCTCCGAGCCTCCCGCGTCCTACCGGTACTCGCCTTTTAAGAGATTCAACCGCATCAACCTGCGCTTTAAGATCTCATATTACACACAATGGGGGCAGAATCTCATGCTAAGCGGCTCGGATCTGCTTCTCGGGAAGTGGAACATTAAGCAGGGCGTGTGGATGACGCCTCATCACGAGGGCGAGTTCCTCGTCTGGCAGGTAATTGATTTAAATCCGTCCCGCAGTGGACTCAATAGCGCGTATAAACGTCTATCCGTGGTTCCCTTCGTTTCCTCTTCCGAGAAGGTGCGGGCACCGAGGGTTCAAGGTTTATGGCGGGCAGCTGCCAGGCCGCGTTTTGCTTCAGTATGACGTTTAAGGGCTCAGGGTTCAGAACCAGAAGCCGTCGTACGCAAAGTTCCGCTTTGCGAGTAAGCTCGTGGGAGTATCTTAGCAATGGCGCGGCCGCGGCGACACGATGACGTGTGAGAATGACTTTCGAGTCGACCCAAAAGTCGCTTCGTTCTGTGCCTTTCGCCCGTTCGTCACCGATCGACCGTCCTGCTGATGTGTGGGGCACGTTAGAGTTGTTTTCGGCCTGCATTCTCGCGGCGTAGCGTGCTGCGCGTAGGCCTTCGCAGGAGCGACATAGACCGCAATGCATACTGAGTATGGCGTTCCGACGAATCCATGGCTCACAATGCGGCGCCACTCTCCAGCTCCTAGTGCCCCGCTCCGCTTTCCTGTCAATCGCATGCATCCCCTCTCCATCGTCTTTCACCCCCTTCCCTTGAAACCTCGCAACCCCCCAAACTTCACCGCTCACCCTACCATGCCTCCTTCTCCTGCTCCCCCACCCCGTACGCGCACAGCATTCCACTCCGTCCCTTCACACCCCCCTCAAACTTTTCCCTGGACCCCTCCCTTCCCCTCGTTCCTTCCGCCCGTTCCCCCGCGCCTTTTCCCGCGCGCGCGAGCAGGCGCTGATATCGGTGCCGGACAAGTTCGAGCTGGACTACAAATACGCGTTAGTGGACGAGAAGCTCAACGTCATCAAGTGGGAGTCCGGCGACACGCGCCGCCTCATTCTGCCCGACGGCCTGCCAGATGGCGCCATGGTCGACGTGCTTGACACGTGGCAGGTGCGCTGGCAGCGGGTCTTTCTCTGCCTGTCCCCCACCCCTCCTCCCTCCATTCTCCCTCTCCCCTTCCGCCTCCCCCCCCTCCTTTTTTTCTCTCTTTCTTTCTGCCCCTCTTCCTCTCAATCTGAGCAAGGGCACGGGCTAGTGGTCACGGAATGAAGTGACTCAAATGATATCACAGGAGCATAGATTAAAAGGACTATTTCAGCCGGAGATCCTGAACCAAGTGGGTGGGCAGGTAGGGGCCTGACAGCGGGGAAAAGAAAAGAGTAGATCTGGGAGGGGTATGAAGCTAGGTGGCGAGAATGCGCACGAGCGTTGCTTGCAGTGGACGTGCAACACGGCCTCGGGGTAGAGAGAGAGAGTGCATCTGGCTGGCATGAGCCAAAGCGCTCTTTGTCTTGCCCCATCACGGCTGGCTATCATCAGCAAATAGAGGCGGAACTATCCATCAGTATGCTGCATGGATGGAGGTGCAGCAAGGCCTGCATGCGGAGAAGGAAGCTCGCATTGTGCAGTGCTCCTCTTGTACTTGCGTGCTTGCTCTCGCTGCTCGCACGTGGCAGCCTCCATTGTGGCAGAACCTGAACGGCAGGGCGGTTACTGGTTGGTGTGCGGATATTGAAGTACGGTCCACGCTTTGCGTTGGTCAGTCGGACTCACCATTAGGTCTTTCCCGCCCCCATCCCCCTGTCCCATCCGCGCCCCGTTCCCGTGCATCCCCTCGCCACCATGGGTGTGTGCGTGTGTGCTGCCGCCTGCATGTGTGCGATCATTCGCCTCCATTCGCGCCTCTCGTGCATGTCATGTCAGGACGGGTCGTCCCCCGAGACGCTGCTATCGCGCAACGCATTCCGCAAGGTCATCTTTGGCAAGGCCGCGCAGGCGGACGACGACAGCGACGACGCACCCACTGCACTGCCACCGCTGCCGCCAGAGCTCTTCGAGTCTAAAGGTGTGCAGCGCTTGGGAGGGGGGTGATGGGGTCGGACACAGGTGTATGTGGCGGGACACATGGGTCGGGTGCAAGGGGTGGGGGAATAGCGGTTGATTGGAGGAGCGGTGCTGCTTTAGGGAAGTGGAGGGATGCACTGTGCGGCAGGAGGGGTTGATGCAGGTTGTTGCTCACCATGTGGGTGCTGTGGCGGCCATGCTGGTGCATGCATCTCGAAGTCTTTGAAACCTGATGGTCGGGAATGGGATTACTGGGTAATTAATTTCACAGGGGCCTGCTGGTCTGGGGGAAGGGTCTGGAGAAGCATTGTTGTGTGTTGTGGGACGGGGCCATGCTGATGCCTCTGTCTGCGCTCACCGTCTCCACTGCCCAAATGCCCTCTTGCCTGCAGATGACATTGTGTTGAGATTCAGAGTGAACTGCTCGCGGCTAGACAAGGGCCAGAAGGTGCGCTCTCCTGCCTCAATGGCGTGCATAGGCGCACGAGTGTGCTCTGTGTCTGTCTGTCTGCCTCATGCTAGTCAGCATTCGCTCACATGCCCTGCTGCCACGCCTGCACATGCATTCATGCACGTGCAAGCATGCAGAGCTGCTGTTTACCAGTACAAGTGCAACTCCTATCGTCCATAAATGCCCTGCCATCTCTCTGCCGCTCGCCGCAGGTGTGTGTGACGGGCAGTGCACCCCGACTGGGCGCATGGGAGGCGGGGGGGTGTGTGCCCATGACGCGCACACACGGCACACTCTGGGAGGTCGACCTCTCGCTACCACGCCACGAGTTCCCCATTCGATATCCTCTCCACGCCCCTCTCCCTTCCTTACCACCCATCCTTCCACCCATCCTCGCTCCCTTGCATCTCCATCCTACCTTCGCGTACCTCCCTATCCCTCTGACTCACTGTGTTTGGTGCTATTCCATATTTGTACGCGCACTGAACCATGCTTTTCACTCACCCCGAACTCCACTCATCTCTCTTGCACCCTCGGCACATACGGTTCTCCTTAACTACTCGCCACCCCCATCGTTGCACTTCTTTGTTGGCCTTCGGCTTCTTGTCTTTCCTTCTCCTCCTCTTGCTGCCCTCCCCGCCCCTCTACCTCCTTTCCTCTCGTCTCCTCGCCTCTCCCCTCCTCGAATCTCCCCGCCTCTCCGCTACGTTCCTTGCCTCTTCTCCTGCGTGACACCAACACATACAAGTACTGTCTGCGGGATGCGGACGGCTCAGTGACATCGGAGTACGGCAGTGACATAGAGCTGGGGCTAGACACCTCGGCGCGCAAGCCCTCCATCATGATCTTTGTCTCCGACGGCCACTTCAGAGTGCGTCCACACCACACCTTCCCCGCTCTCCCCTTGCTAATTTATATTTTAGACTTCATTCGAGTTCTCATCCCAATCCCGTCCAACTTTGCAGTGTGTCTTGCGCTCTCCCTCTCTTCGACGTCCCTCTCTCCCTCTCTCCCTCTCTTCCCCTCTCCCTCGCCCCCCCTCTTTCTGCGTTGGCCAGTGCCTCTGGTCGACTCCTCACTCCCGCCCCTCCACTTGCCCTCTCATACACGCCACTGCTTTCTCCTCTCGTTTCAGCCCTCTCATCTCCCTCACACCCCCACCGCCTCTCCACACTCACTCCCACACTCACTCCCACACCCACTCCCATTCCAACTCCCACCCCCACCCCCATCACCACACACACCCCCACCTCCAACCCTCCCTCTCTTCCTCCACACCTTTGGCGCAGGCGAACCCGTGGCGGGGAGCAGGAGTGGCGATCCCAGTGTTCTCCCTGCGCTCCAAGGAGAGTGTGGGCGTGGGCGAGTTCGCGGACCTGCGTCTGCTAGTGGACTTTGCACACAGTGCAGGTCTGCGCCTGGTGCAGCTACTGCCTGTCAATGACACCTCTGTCAATGACATGTGGTGGGACTCCTACCCGTACAGGTCAGTGTCTCTCCCACGTTCCCCCCACGCTCCTTTTCCTTCCTACTACTCCTCTCTCACCTATCTCTCGCCTAGCTGTCGTTTGTTCTCTGCTCCCATCTGTCACGTTCTCCCCTTCCCTGTTCTCCCTCCCTCCCTGGGCCGTTGAGAGCCTCTGCTCAATATCTCTTCCCCAACCCCCCTTCTCCCTCCGCCACTCTCCTCCCTTGTCATCCCCACGCCCACACCCGTGCAGTTCGCTCTCGGTGTTCGCCCTGCATCCGCTCTACCTGCGACTGCAAGCTCTCGCCCCCAACCTGCCTGCGCAAATCCAGGTGCGCCCCCTGCCCCTGCCGTGGGGTGCCGCTCGCATGGGTTATGCATGCCCTGTTGCGCACACATGCTGGATTGCTTCCCGATGACCCCACTCGTCCGCTGCTGTCACATGCTCTGTGTGTTTGTGTGTGTGCGTGTGCATGCGCGTGCCTGCATTCGAATGTATGTGTGTGTGCCATGTGCCTGCAATGCATGTGTTCGTGGTGCTTACATGTGTGCGTGTGTGCACCCGTGCATGTGCATGTGTGTGCCTGCACGCTTGCTCGACCCCAACAGGCGGAGATAGAGAGTGCAAGGGCGGCGTTGGACAAGGAAGCAGTGGACTACGATGCCACCATGAGCACGAAGCTGCGCATCGCACGGGCCGTCTTCCAGTGGGACGGTGACCGCCTGCTCGCCTCCCAGCCCTTCAAGGACTACTTCCACGAGAACCAGGTGCGTGCAGCGGTGGAGGGTGGTGTAGGGCGGTAAGCGAGGAGGGGTTGTTGTGGAGGGGTAGGTGAGAAGGCGTGGGAGGGGAAGCGAGGAGAATATTAACGCTTTGAGGGACACGGAAAGGAGCGTGGCGGCAGCAGGAGGCAACGTTGGTGTCTGGATGTGGGAGGAGCAGGCGGGTACATGCATGCCCTGGCACTGCCTGGCCCTTTCCCGTCCTTGTCTTGAACCCTGTTGCTGCGCTTTGTCTCTCTGCCCCTTCGCCTGTGTGCGGGTGCGTGTGTGTCCCCAGGACTGGCTGAAGCCGTATGCGGCGTTTATGTTCCTGAAGAAGCTCTTCGGCACAGCGGACCACACGCAGTGGGGCACACTCGCCAACTACTCGCAGGAGCAGGTGGGCTGTGCTGTGCGGTGCTGTGCTGTGCGGTGCTGTGCTGTGCGCCGCACCTTCATTGCCTCGTGCCATTTTGTGCACTCGCCTTGTCGGCTGTCTCTGCTGCACCTGTACTCAATCCCGTGCTCGACAGCTTGTCGTGTGGCCGTTTCTCTGCACCATCACCTCACTCCCACCGCACCATGCTCTGCACCACTGTCGCATCACATGCTCCAAGCCTCTATGCACGCTTCACTGCCCAACGTGCCATGCCCACTGCCCACCGTGTGTGCACCATGTGTGATGCATGGCAGGTGGATCGCATAGTGGCGCCAGGCACAGACTACTACGCCACCATCGCATTCACATACTACGTGCAGTACCACCTGCACGTGCAGGTGGGTTCAGTAGTTCGAAAAACATGGGGGAGTGGGTGGGTGGGTCACTACGTTCAGGTACACATTTTCAGGTTCGAACAGCACAATGATCTAGGGTGTTGGTCAAACCAGAGTGGTTTTCTATAATTGTTGCTAAAGAGTGGATGGCAGCATCTGCAGCATCACCTGCACATGCAGGATGCAGTATGCTGCATCTCTCTGATCACCATCCCTGCTCTGCTCCATTGCCAACGCATCTCCACTTCTAACTTTTTTTTCCCATCCCCATCTCATCTTCATCCCCACGCACCGCCCCTATAATCCCAGCTCCTGGACGCGGCATCATACGCGCACGAGCGCCACGTGGTGCTCAAGGGCGACCTGCCCATCGGTGTGGACCGCTGCAGCGTGGACACGTGGCGCTTCCGCTCGCTCTTCCACATGGACACGTCCACGGGCGCCCCGCCCGACGCGTTCTCGTCGGAGGGGCAGAACTGGGGCTTCCCCACCTACAACTGGGAGGCCATGGGCAGGGATAACTACGCCTGGTGGCGCGCACGGCTCACACAGGTGTGGGAATGGGCGTGTGTGTGGGTTGGGAGGAGGAGATAGGGCCGAGTGAGTGGGGCTCATGGGAATAGTGGCAGGGGCGGATGGTGAGAGCACGGTGCTTCGCCATGCTATGTGTGGTTCTCCCCTCGTTTTCTCTGTGCTCACAGATTGTGCCTGTCTTTCCCTTGTGTTGCTATTGCAATCGCTGCCTGCCCTGTCCCCTCCCCACTGTTGTGCATGTGCGTGGCAGATGGCCAAGTACTTCAGTGCGTACCGCATAGACCACATCCTGGGCTTCTTCCGCATCTGGGAGCTCCCTGACCATGCCGTCTGCGGCATTCTCGGCCACTTCCGCCCCTCCATCCCCATCTCCGCGGTATACCACCCCTCTCCTCGCCTTGCCTTTCTTAACTCGCCATGATGATTTGTTGACACAGCAGAAGCGTGCTGCCATGGTGTGCACTGCCGTTCTGCGTTCAAGTTGCTTGTCGCACCACCCTGTTGCATCTCAGGCATGGTAGGCGAATATGGGGGAGCTGCATTGCATGTGTTCCAATGGGCCCTCAGTCTAGCATGTGTGCTCTGTTGTGTGCGCCCTATGACTCATAAATGTGTGCGTACCACTGTGTTGCACTGCATGCCGGCACCCACTGGGGCCATGGCAGGAGGAGATGGAGAAGGAGGGCGTGTGGGACTTCAACCGCCTGTGCGACCCTTACGTGCGCTGCCACCTGCTGCAGGTGCGCCCTCCTCGCTTGCCTTGCCCCTCCTGCTCAAGTGTGCTTCGCTGCTCTTTTTGCATAATCCTTTTCTTATTCTGCGCTTTATTCGCTTATTTTCGGCGCATGTTTGAGAGAGGTTATTGACTCTCTGTGCATGTGTGAGTTTATGTGTGTGTGCCTGTACGCACAAATGTGTATGTGTACATGTGTGTGTTTGGGCATCTGTGTGCGTTTGAGTGATTGCATCTGTGTGTGTGTGTGTGCACGTGCATCAGGAGAAGTTTGGCCAACGGTGGGCAGAGATCGCCTCCAAGTTCTTTGAGGAGTATCAGCACCTCTGCTACAGGGTAATGTGATGTGCTACAGGGTATTGTGATGTGCTACAGGGTAATGTGATGTGCTACAGGGTAATGTGATGTGCTACAGGGTAGGTCCATGCTATAAGCATGCAGGATACAGCATTCAGAATATGGTGTTTAGGTTTGCTAGAGGTATACAGGGTCTATGATATCATTGCACAAGCATGCTTCATCCAGCTGTCAACGTACTGTTGCCAGCACGTCCAATGCACCCGTCTTCACACGATGGGTGCTTGTTAGAGCGCATTCTCAAGCCTGCGAATTGTTCCTGTGGCACATGGCACTTGACACCCAACTCACGGCACACGGCACATGTTATTCCCCCCTGGCAGTTCAAGAAGGAGTACGACACAGAGAAGAAGATTGTGGCAGCTGTGCAACCCAGAGAGGGCTCGCCAGAGTGGCTGGAGGAGGAGGCCAAGGAGACCCGCAAAGGCCTGCTCTCACTCTTCCAGGTGCCACCTCATCCCTCCTCCTCCTCCTTTTGCTGCTGCTGCAATATGTACTCTCTTTTACCTCCATGTTGCTAGAGCAAGCTGTACTACTGTGCATCTGTATGTGCTGCTTCTCAAACATTTCTCTCATCCACTCCATCCCTCCTTGCCATTTCCCCCCCACAATGCTAATCCCATGATGCGTGCAGAGCGTGGTGTTGATCCGCACGCAGGACGATCCGCGCAAGTTCTACCCGCGCTTTGACTGCGAGAAGACTGCCAGCTTCATGGAGCTCGATGAACACACGTGGGTGGAGAGGGGTGCAGGGGGGTGCAGGGTGGTGCACGGGGGTGCAGGATAGAAGGGAAGGAGGGATGGAGTGGAGCATGACATGGAGAGAGGATAGGAAACGGGGGGCATGATTAGTGTGTGTGGTGCTCCATATGTAGTTACTCACGCCCACATGATTAGTGTGTGTGGAGCAGCAGAGCACTCCACCTGCTACCATCTCACTGCACCACTTTGTTTGGCTCCAGGCCGCAACTCCTAAAGTAACCACCCTCTGCCCCCATTCACCACTGCGCTGCCTCCCTCACCACTCTTCATCCACCCACATTCCCCTCCCCTTCCCACCCCTCCCCTCCCCTCCTCCACTCTCTCCTTCCCACTCCCATCGCTTCCCCTCCCCCCATCGTCACCTGCTCTCATGCCCCCCCCTTCTGCCCATGCCCCGTGCCTTCACAGCAAGGCGGTGGTGAAGAGGTTGTACCTGGACTACTACTACTCTCGGCAGGAGACTCTGTGGCGCAGCAACGCGCTCAAGACGCTGCCCGTGCTCATGAACGCCTCCGACATGCTGGCCTGTGGGGAGGACCTGGGCCTCGTCCCTGCCTGCGTGCCGCCCGTACGTGCCATGCCGAGCTGTGATGCTGTTGTGGTGCTGTGGCCCCTCGTGCTCTCTTTGTTAGGGCTGTTGGCCTTGCTGCGGTGCTGATTGCTTGTGCCTGCTCATTGCTACACCACCTGCACCCGTTTCCCTCAGGGAGGGACACCCCACTACCCAGCCCTCTAGCGTGGTATTCCCTGCCATTCATTTCTCGTAACCCACCCCTGCCATCCCTCCCCTGCCAAACTCTCCCATGCCATCCCTGCCATATGCCGTTCCTCCCCATCCATGTGCCTTCCATTCCTGTGCAGGTGCTGGCGGAGTTGGGGCTACTGGGGCTGCGCATTCAGCGCATGGCCACCAAGATAGGCCAGGACTTTGGCAACCCTGCAGAATACGACTACATGACGGTGCGTGGGGCCCCGAGGGCGCTATGCGTTGAAGGTTTGTTGACAACAAACAGAGAGTTTTGTTGGTTGCTGCTCCTCAGCTTCCCTAGGCAAGTCAATCACATATTTTTTTTATTTTTTTTTAATCGATTGGTACTAGGCAGAAGGAGCAGCATACCAACGCAAATCACTTCCTCTGTCCAACTCTCTGTCTTGGTGCCTTGCCCGGTCCGCCCAGGTGTGTGCGCCGTCGTGTCATGACACGTCAACGCTGCGCGCATGGTGGGAGGAGGAGCCCGAGAGGCGTCACAAGTTCTTCCGCTCCGTGCTCGGCTTCAGCTCGCCTGCTCCCGACCGGTGGGTGCTCCCATGCCTGCCCCCACTGCTGACCCTTTCTTTTCCACTCCATTCTTGCACATTCCCATACACTTTGAATTGAGCTTCCGTGTGCCCTTGATATGCCACCACCCGCCACGCACCAAGTTCATCTCTCCGACTCCCCTCTGCCTCCTCTGCCGCCCATGCTGACATCCCTTGTGACCACGCCCTTTCCCACTCCCATCCCCCATGCGCCCTGGCTGCAGGTGTACACCGGATGTGGCGAGGGCCATTATCCAGCAGCACTGCGATGCTCCGAGCGTGTGGGCCATATTCCCCCTGCAGGTACCCTTGCTCTCAGCTGCTTGCTGCTTGCTGCTTCCTAGCACTGCATCGACCCCTGCATCTTTCAACAATTCCGCATCCATCCATGCAACTCACCCATGCACTGTGCCTGTACTCTGCACTCGCCCATGCACTGTGCCTGTACTCTGCACTCGCCCATGCCATGCCCTGCTCATTCTATGTGTCCGTTGTGCAACGCTGTTGTGCCATCCGTAATCATGTGTCGCCACGCGCTGCTCATGTGTGTGTGTGGGGCATCAGGACCTGATGGCGTTGAGGGAGGAGTATTTGACACGCCCAGCCAACGACGAGACCATCAACGACCCCACCAACCCTCGCCACTACTGGCGATTCCGTGAGCTGCCCCTTCCGCCCGTCCCCCCTCTCTCGCTGTCTCTCAACTCGGCCTCCACACTGTGGTGGCACGTCGCAGTGTTCACCCTGCCTGCGCATGCGGTGCACAATGCACGCCATTCAGCTCTTTGCATACATGCCATGTCCATGTGCTCTGCTCTCTCCACACAAAGCAAGCCGTACCCTCCTCCGCCTTCCCTCCCACCGCACTCACTCGCCTCCCTTCCCTTCCCTCCCTCCCCGCCCCTCCCACGCCCTCCCTGTGCCCGCCCGACAGGGGTGCACGTGCGGCTGGAGGACCTGGTAACGGACTCAGCGCTCATCACGAGCCTACAGCACATGCTGCTGGCCAGCGGGCGCACGGCCCCTGCAGACCTGCCCGACCGCTACCGGTCGTCTGCTGTGGACTTCCTGGCGCACTCTGTGGGCAGCCTCAGCCTCTCCCACCCCCCCGCCACTCTCGGCGCCGCTCCCTCCCCGCTGCTCGCTCTCTCGCTTGGACCCATTCCTTGAAGGAGAAGAGGGGGATGGGGAGGGATGGTTGGGGATGAGGGGGGGTGAAGGGGGGTGAAGGAGGTGGGGAAGCAGGTGTGGTGTGGGTGCACAGGTCATTCTTATGCAATACGTTGAGTCAGCAGCAGAAGGGCCGGCTCGTCCTGCACTCCTTGTAAGCCGAAAGCACGGAGGAGGAAGGTGGGGAGGGGAGGTGGGGAGGGGAGGGGGGGAGGAGTGAGGGGTGATAGGGTGTCAATCCAATAAGAGAATGTGGGGAACCTCTTACGAAACAAGTTTAGAATGTGTGGTGAGGTATGCTCGGACGTAGCAAGCTACTGCTCAGGCCCTACGATATCAGGATTTTTTCCCTGAAATTCCTGATTTTCAGCCTAGTTTTGTGTACCTACACTGAATTTTCAGTGTTGAGATTTTTGTGACACTGATTTTTTCAGCCTTTACTTCATAGCTAACACTGATGTTTCAAACTTTTATCGAAGTGTACACTGAATGCACATTCCGAATCCTTCCCGTTAAACACCCGAGACAATAAGTCAACCAACATTTCCACATAATAAAACCTTGTGTGAAAAAATACTGCTTGCTGACTTGATGAACTGGCTCAGTGGTAAGCGAAGAAGATCCCGAATGGTAAGGTTTCCGGTTCGAATCCATCTAATAACGTGTTCATAAAGATTACTCTCTTGTACAATTGCATGATGTGATTGAAAATTCAGGCTTTTGTTTTCCGGAACCCTGAAAATTCAGGCTTTTTTTTTAGGAACCTGAAAATTCAGGCTTTTTTTCACAGGGACCCTGATGCATCTGTTGGGCTGAGATGCCCTAGGATCTTTGTAGAGTTAAAGTCTGAGTAGGATTGTAATAGCGGAAGCGTTTGAATGAAAAAGTCCTTGAACCACCTTGCGCTAGTATGTGAGGGCAAAGTGAGTTGATTAAAACAAGCAAATACAAGGCTTTATATAAGAGTACAAGGAATACGAATAGATATAATTAAACTGTTTTTCTGTTGCGATTCGATACAGTGCGACTCGTGCAACTGCTCAATGTCGAGTCAGTTGTGTGTCCTTGCTGTCGCGCTGTATTTGTTAAGTCAAAGGTCGCTGACTTTTGACCTTCGCGTAACCTCCAGGCGGTTACCCTAACCTCCGAGGGTTGACTCGCGATGCTTCGATTTGGACTGCTTCGCTTGTGTCCTGAGTTTCGACACCACAGAGGCGCTTTAAGACTTATTGTTCCCAACACTCCCCTTCGCTTCTGGAGTGTCGTTAATGGTGACGTGGCCTTGTCCAGTCAGCAGCATGCAGTACTCGAACTTTTGTTTTCCGAGTTTCTTGGTCAAGTAATCGGCTGCCATCTCGGACGTGGGACAGTAGGATAATTCGAGTTTCCCTTTCTCGATCTCGTCTTTCGCGAAGAAGTATCGCAGAGCGATATGCTTCGTTCTGTTCGCGAATCCGCTTTTGTTGGCGATGCGAATTGCAGATTGGTTGTCGCAGAATAAGGTGAAGTTGGGTAACTCGGCTAACCTTGCTTCTTCCAGCAGCTCGCGAAGGTAGAGTCCTTCCTTGGTGGCTGAGCAGAGGGCGATATATTCTGCTTCAGCTGAAGAGAGAGCGATTAGTTCCTGCTTGCTCGACTGCCAGGAGATAGGTCCGATAGGCTCGAGACGATAGACGTAGCCAGTGCGAGAGCGCCTATTGTCGGAATCGCCGGCATGATCGGCATCGACGTAGCCGATTAGTTTCGTGGTCGTAGTTTTGTTTTTGTAGTAAGTCAGGCCGATCGTCGGAGTGCTCACGAAGTAGTGTAGTGCGCGATCGAGCTCCGCCAGGTGCTCTGCTTCGGGTTTCTTGAGGTAGGTAGCGAGTGTCAGAACATATAGCTTACTTGTTTCTGTAGGCTATAGTGGGGTATCCCATAGGGGGTACAACCCAATTAGGGTTTCATATTTGTACTCACTTCATTTCATAGTGCACCCATTCTCGTTCACACTTTCTCATGGAATCAGAGCAGGTCCCTTCTTAGGGCCTGTTCCTAGGGCCCACCGAAGCGCGCCCCGAGGCGCGCATTTTTTTTTTCGCGACCCTCCGTGTCGCCCTCCCCGTCGTGCTCCCGCTTAGGCCCCTCGTCGGCCCCGCCTAGGCCCCTCGTCGGCCCCGCGTAGCCCTCGTCGGCCCCACTTAGGCCCCACGTCGGCCCCACCTAGACCCCGTCGGCTCCTCGTCGGCCCCGCCTAGGCCCCACGTCGGCCCCGCGTAACCCCCCGTCGGCCCCGCTTAGGCCCCACGTCGGCCCCGCGTAGCCCCGCTTAGGCCCGTAGGCCCCACTTCGGCCCCTCGTCGGCCCCGCCCAGACCTCGTCGGCCCCGCCACGGCCCTACGCCGGCCCCGCTTCAGCTGCTGTCGGCCCCGCTACAGCCCGCCACTGGCCTCGCTACACCCCGCCACTGGCCCCGCTACAGCCTGCCACCGGCCCCACTACGGCCCGCCGTTGGCCCCGCTACAGCCCGCACCGGCCCCTGCTACAGCCCGCCGCCGGCCCAGCTACAGCCTGCCGCCGGCCCAGCTACAGCCCGCCCCCGGCCCAGCTACAGCCCGCCGGCGGCACAGCTACAGCCCGCCGCCGGCCCAGCTCCAGCCCGCCGCCGGCCCCGCTACAGCCCGCCACCGGCCCCTGCTACAGCCCGCCGCCGGCCCAGCTACAGCCCGCCCCGGCCCCGCTACAGCCCGCCACCGGCCCCTGCTACAGCCCGCCGCCGGCCCAGCTACAGCCTGCCCCGGCCCCGCTACAGCCCGCCGTCGGCCCGCCGTCGGCCCCGCTACAGCCCTCCCCGCGGCCCCTGCTGCAGCCCGCCGTGCTGCACGTGAGCAGCCCCAGCAGCCCGCGCCGCCCGTGAGCCCCTACGCCACCCGAGCCGCGCGAGCCACCCGAGCCGCCCGAGCCGCCCGAGCCGCCCGAGCCGCCCGAGCCGCCCGAGCCGCCTGAGGAGCCGTGCTGCTGTTCCTGAGATGTGTTCCTCTGCTACTGACCTACCCGACTCTACCAGCCCGGTGAGACTTTCAGCTGCTGCCATGGCCACCCCAAATGTTCTTACTTTTGACGCTGAGGGGAGGGCCATTGACTTTGCCGTCTGGATTGAAGACCTGCAGCTGTACTTACTGTGTGATGCGATAGATGAGGTCTCTCTCTTTGACTTTGTCTCTGGCGCTGTCCCTGCCCCACCTGCTGATGCTGACTCTGCCGTTCGCTCCAAGTGGGCGACCTGCGATGCTGCTGCACGTCTTGCTGTGCGTCGCCACCTCCCTTCCTCTGAGCGTGCCCACTTTAGTCAGTGCAAGACCGCTCAGGCCTTGTACGACGCTGTAGTTGCACGCTACTCCTCCCCTTCCTCCGCTACCCTTAGCCGCCTCATGCTACCGTTTCTCTTCCCTGACCTCGCTTCCTTTCCCACTGTCGCTGACCTCGTTACCCACCTCCGTGCTAGTGACACCCGCTACCGCGCTGCCCTTCCTGCTGAGTTCCGCGCTGCGAACCCTCCTCCCATGTACATCACATCACTCTCTACTTTCTCGTCACCCGTCTCCCTGAGTCCCTTCGTGTCGTTAGGGACCAGTTTCTCTCTGTCTGTCCCACCACTCTCACTGTCGACCTCCTTGAGGAGTCCCTGCTAGCGGCTGAGAAGAGTATTGTCGCTGTAGGGGCCTCTCGGGGTGACCCTCGCACCCCCATCTTTGAGGGGTGTGGTCCTTCCCCCCTGCTGCCCTCTGTCGCCTCTGCCGCTGCGGCCGACCTCACTGGTTTTGAGTCGGTCGGCGCGGCGTCTGCCCCCAGCGGCAGACGCCGCTCTGGCAAGGGCAAAGGGGGCAAGGGAGCGGGTGGAGCTAGAGGGGGCGGTGGAGGAGGCGGTGGGGGTGGCGGGGGGAGTGGGGGTGGCGGTGGGGGTGGTGGCGGGAGTGGAGGTACTGGTGGCGGCGGTGGAGGCGGAGGTGGCGGCGGAGGTGGTAGCGGAGGAGGCGGTGGGAGCGGTGGGAGCGACGGTCATGGTGGGGGAGGTGGCGGTGGAGACGGGGGTGGCGGTGGAGGCGGGGGTGGCGGTGGAGGCGGGGGTCGGAGTGGCTCGTCCCAGCGGAGCAGCTCTGGGGGTGGTCAGCGCCAGCAGCAGCAGCAGCAGCAGCAGCCGCAGCAGCAGCCACAGCAGCAGCAGCGCTCTCGCACCGTCCCCGGCCCTCAGCAGCTCCGTGAGTGGTACTTGCAGCGTCAGCGTGGTGGTGCGCTTGGTCCCTGCCCCTACGTTCTTCGCACCGGTGACCGTGCAGGGGAGAGGTGTGGAGGCGCCCACACAGCCCGCCACTACTTTGGCCGCCTGACCGACGCCTGGCGTCAGCAGTTTCCGGAGGCCGCTGAGATCCCCCGCTGGGGAGAGCTGTCTAGGGCTGGTGTAGCTATTTATGATCTTGATTTTGATGCTATTCTCTCTGCTATGTATGCTGTGACTGGTAGTGATGAGGATGACTGTTAACGGTGTTTCCCGCCCGACCCGGGCATTGGTACTGCCGCGTCAGGTACTAGTGAGGCTGCTGCTCTAGGTGCCAGTGCGTCTGTGCTCTCAGGTGCTGGTGAGTCTGCCCTCTCAGGTACTGTGTCGGCTTCGGCCTCTCACACCTTCACCCTTGACTCTGGAGCGTCTCGCTCCTTCTTTAGGGACCGCACCACTCTCACGCCGCTGAGTCGGCCGGTTGCGGTGTCCCTGGCTGACCCCTCTGGGGGGCCTGTCCTGTCTCGCTTCTCCACTGTCCTCCCGTGTCCGGCGGCCCCCTCTGGCACCCTGACTGGTCTCTACCTCCCCTCGTTCTCGACGAACTTGGTGAGTGGTGCTGACCTCCAGGATGCGGGTGTCCACCAGTTCACCCCTGCTCGTCAGCGGGTGACCCACTGCACGGAGGCGGATACAGGTCGCCACCTGGCTACGTTTACACGTCGGCGAGGGTCGAGCCTGTACA